ACGACTGGCCTTGTCTGATGAGATTCTTAAGGCTGTAGCAGCGCGGCTTGAAGACGAGGAGTGGTTTGTCCGAGAAACCGCGGTAGAAGCCTTGAACCAGCTTCGGCGATTAAGCTCGCATGAAAAGACTCTCAAGGCCATAGCAACGCGGCTTAAAAGCAAGGATTGGACCATCCAACAAGCCGCTTTTAGAGCCTTGAACCAGCAATATAGTTTTTCAATTGAAACTATTGAGACTATAGTGGCGCAGCTTAAGGACAGCGAAGACAGCTCTACCCGCGTAACTACCATTAAGGCCTTAGGCAGTCGATCAGACTTGCCGAACGAGGTTCTCAAGGCTATAGCGGCACGGCTTAAGGATAATGATAATATATATGTCCAAGTAGCCGCCGTTGAGGCCTTAGGCAATCAATTAAACTTACCAGACGAGATCCTCCAGGTGATAGCAGCGAGCCTTAAGAATAACGATAACGGGAGAATTCAAGTAGCCGCCATGAAGCCCTTACGCAAGCAATTAAGCTTGCCTGGCGAGGTTCTTAAAGCTGTGCCAGCGCAGTCTAAGGACAATAAAGACGACCTATCCTTTAAAATCGCCGCTATTGATGCATTAGGCAAGCAATCAAACTTGTCTAATGAGATTCTTCATGCTATAGTAGCACAACTTAAGTACAACGGCCGGGTCATTCAACTTGCCGCCATGAACGCTTTAGGCAATCAATTAAACTTGCCTGACGATATTCTCAAAGCTATAGCTATAGCAGCAAGTCTTAAGAATGTCGAAAACTGGAGGGTCCAAGAAGCTGCCATGAAGCCCTTACGCAAGCAATTAAGCTTACCTGACGAGGTTCTTAACGTTATAGCTGCGCAGCTTGACGAGGAATCGTTCTCTGCAGAGCTTGCGGAGAGTATACTGAGAAAGCACAGAGAATTCTATCTCACACTTCTCCTCGAAAGCCCTTACTCTCCCTCCCTCTACAAAGTGCTACTACGGCGGAGCTTCAGAGAAGACTTGAGCTGGTATATTGACGATGATGGCAACTCTTTTCTTAACCTACCAGGAGATAGTGGAAGAACTCTTATTGATAAACAATATGACATGAGGGCTATAATACAAGAAGTTCGTCCAGCAAACTTCCCAGCACAATAAAAAGCAAGACAGGATACATATTGAAATTTTACATATTTACAACTACCTCTCTATACGCACCGCCGCCTTGCTACTCCCATGGCTAAATACTGCGGAAGTGAAGTGGCAATGCTATTGTAAGAAATGGGAGGATGGACATTATTTGTCTCATGATACCAGCTGAATCCAACTACTAGCCACGGTAGGGTCGATCTCTTGCATTCTCCCTGGCGGCTGGTTGGGACTCGGTATATTGGAGCTCATTGCTAAAAGATGAGAGAGTCATTCAACAAGACTCAAACGTATGACTCTCAAAGATCAATGGCCGATGTGTGTAGAGCTTTTTGGTATATAGTCCAGCTCGTAATGCGCTTAGTTCCATTTGCCTCATTGTCTCACTATTATACATATATGTTGCGTGTTTTGATTGTTGTAGAAGATGACAGCCATATCTTTACGGAGTGGCAGAAGACCAACCTTGGGTAAGATATGAACCAGTATACTCGACACAAAGTGAGTAAGTATTAGCCAAAAGCTTTTCATGCACATGTATACTGCGGCCAACACAGGCCACAATACCACTCGGTCTACTTACCTAAGCTTTTCCAATAAAGAATTGGGGTGGAAGAAGAAGCCAAGAATGAACATCGCCTGTAATCATGTCATATACATGTCCTATTCTATTTAACCTAGGACCTAGTAGATAATATGTATACATAACATTGAAGGTCGTATTCGCCAGACACACGCATATGCTATAACGCCAGACATGACAAATAAATGTCCACTTGCAAAGCTCACTCTCTTTTCCCGCCTCTATCATCAAAAATCCATCCAACTCTTATTCAGCCTTCTTGCTGCCTTTTGGGCTCCGAGGTTTTCGCTGCCACCCAGTAGAGAAAAGGGGTCCCATGTCAAACCGAGGGAATGGATGGGCCTCCGTATTCAGCACGATCTTGTCCAGCGGGAGCAAGTCATTTGGCGAGAAGAGAAGGTACATGTATTTCAGAGTCTCGGCCTGTGTAGAAAATATCTCGTTAGTAATACAGAATTGATGATACATAAAAACAACTATTTCAAAGATAGATGAAAGAACTGCAGCAAAACTTACCAGCCAAAAGCTTTCCATGTTGTCCTTGACCGTTGGCGGAATGGTATTGGCATCAAGCAGACTCGTAAAGCCCCCCCGGTCTTCCACGGCAGTGTAGTTGGCAAAGGATTTGAACATCTCCCAGCCCCATTCGCGGTATTTGACATCGCCCGTTATCCTCCACATGTAGAATAAACTCTCCACCGTCTCCGGACGCTGCAGGTTGTGCACGTCGTTGGAGTGGACGATATAGTCCTTCCGCCACTCGGCCTCCGGATCAGGGTCAAACTCGGCCGGAGCTTGATGAGGTACTGATGCATCCGGTGGCGGGTTATTAGTGTTGAAGTATGTGATTTCGGCCGCTAGGCCCGTCTTCATGTATTTATACATGCCCCAGCAGGTATGCATGAGCTCTCTCGCTAGCTGCATGTCCTCCTCCTTCTTTTTAGACCAAGTAGGCAATTTACGTGCCTCGGCCTCAGTAAGGCCGTCAGTGGCCGCCAAAGTAATAGTCCCCGGCATGAAGCAGACCAGGTGATCCATTTTCGGCGACAATGGGTATTCCAAGCCGTCAGGACGCTCAGCAATGATGGTAAACCCAGAAGGCTCAGTGTAGGTCACCAGGTGCTTCCGTACGCCTGCAAGGGCCTCCTCCCACATCTCTTCGTAGATGGGCTCCTTCTTGTTTGTCTGCAGATATTGCTTGATGAGGTACTCATAATAGGAGTCACCTCTGCTTCCCAATCGAATATTGCCACCTCGAAATTCGCCCGTCGTAGCATAGATGTATATGGGGACAAGGCCATCTTCCGGCTGATTGCCATCGATAATTTCCATAACCTTTTCGACTTTATCCCAGAAATTCTTCTCACCAGTAAGCTTGGCCAAATACTTGAACTCAAGCTGGAGAGTGGTGGCCTCGGCCGTAGAAGATGCTCCGCCATCAGAGTGTGATGGGAGACCCTTGTACTCTCCCAAATTGACGCTGGCATACGGGATACCTGACTCAGATTCGAAAGCAGAAAGAAGCCTATCAGCTAAATCTCTAGCCTTTTCCAGATAGAGATCTTCTCCAGGCGCTCCCTCGTCGTCTTCGGTCAGTGGTGCGAGGTCGGGAAACTCGGTAGAAAGATAATGAGCAGAGAGCAATCCACCAAGCATACGAATGGTTGTCTCAAAAGTGTTGACATCTTGGTCTTGGTCCCAGGTCAGCGATGTAGAAAGCCACTCTCGTGCATGCTGCAGGCGCGAGGTCAAGTTCATCAGCATCATGGTGTCCAGAGAGTCAATGATGATCCATCCGAGTCCATTGGGAGCCATGTTCTTGCTAGTCTTCGAAACGGGGTGGAACTCATCCTTGCCTAACATGGTCCAAAACTCATTAGCAATTGTCTTGCGTTACATGTGAAATACATGTATATAATCACAGCACATCACATCACATACCCCATCCATAACGTTCGTAAGCATCCCAGCTCACCTCGAAGGCGTCGACCACGTGCTTCCGCCGTTCGTCCCAATCAACTTGATCTTTCTCCTGCGACAAGCCTAGCCATGATAATGCCGACGCTGAAGTCTTCTTGGCCTTGGGATGGCCAGAGAAGAAGCCCGTGAGGTACAAGAAGAACACCACTGCGGCCGTGATGATCCCCAGCACCTTCTTGCGCCGCCACCACGGCCGCAGTCGCATAGACGGCGCATAAGCGTAGGGCTTGTCCTTGTACATGGGCAACGAGTCTGACTTCTCAAACATGCTGCCGTTCAGCACTCCTCCACCGCCTCTCCGCGACAGAGCTGCCCAGGCGCGGTCCTCTAGCGCTCGGGTGGGGTCCCCAAAGTTGGGCACGTTTTTCGGAATCGAAAAGGACATTTCTAGTGCATTTGCGCCCGCCTGTGCCGCTGCGTCCTTGATGTTCTGAGCCGCTCGGAAAGCTGTAGCCTTGAATACGTTTTTGTTGTGTATGCCGAACGGATCGCGGATCATTGGATCGACGGGGTCATGTCGAGGGGAGCAAGATATTGGCAACGGTTAGACGGACAGACGACGCACTGCCAAGAGAAAAGACGAAGAAGAAGCCAAAGCCAGACTTGGACACGCGACACGCGGATTCCAGCACCTGCGGATTCTCAACCCGGCAAAAAACGAGAATCAAACAAAAGAGAGAGAGAGGCTGGCGGCACGAGCCCGTCTAGGGGTCCTTGCCAAGAATGGACACATGCACCCGGAGAGGCCAGGAAAAAGGACATGTCACCCCCAATCGATAAGGTTCGAGGCTGTCTGAAGACCCCTAGCACTGCGCTTAGCCCGCAGCTTAATCGCCCGCCACCAATGCAGACTTGCGCTTAGGGGGACAATCCCACCTTATTATTCGACGTGCAGCCTTTAAATCTTGACTCCCCAACAAGATATCGTGATATTTGCTGCCAAAATGTCTCTTTCGCTGAACTGAGTCGTTTTGATTCCATATTAGCGAGCACTGCACTCTGGCGTTTCTTCTTTTCCTCTCGTTTCCATCTCTCTTATTGCAAACAGTAACGGCAGCTTCGGTAAAGAACTCAAAACATAATTTGGTTTTTTCTCACAAGCAAGCGAAGATTGCGAACACGAAACTTGAAGTCTTGAAAATCGGGCAAATACTTTAGAGAATAATGGATATCAAAGACTTTCCTTTCCTGACCCCAGAAGAGTTCACCGAAGTGTGCCATCATTTCGATAGCCTGTACTGCAGGGCAAGACTGGGGCCTATAAGGAAGAAATGGAAGTTCAGACTCTGCACCGCTCTGGATCTCACTTATTCAACCAGAGGCGGGTATATAACATATATTCAGATAATTCGGCCACTGGATGAGATAGTGGACCCCAACGATATATCACTGGATCTAGGCAATTTTTCCATATCAGATCACGACGAGCAAAACGGGTTCCTTCAAGGAGACGATGACATGATTGATGATGAAGAATCTGATGCGGTATGCCAACTTTGATACCACTATTACACCTTGAGCATATTCTCACACGTTCCCCAGAATCTCATACATCAGAAGGCGGCGCCAAAGTTTGGCTATGTGTCGTACGAGGTCCATCTACACCCTACATATAGAGTGCCGTGTCTCTGGTTCAGCCTGCATGATCTCCCGCCAGATGAGCCTGCCTTCAATATCGACACCGTCTTCCGTCGCTTAATTCCTGATAGCTATAAAGATGGTCTCCGCCGAGGAATGGGGGGCATCGGTGGCATCTCAGCAGATGTGAGTCTCCATTTCTATTGCAAAAGTTAATTATGGTATCCAAAAAAAAAAAAAAATACAGTGTCGGTCCGGCCGCACTAACAGCTTTGCCCTTAGCATCACCCCATCACCGGGGTACCCTCTTTCTTTCTTCACCCGTGCCTGTTGGGAGACGCTATATCCAGCTTTGAATGCTCAATGGAGAATTATCTCATGATCTGGTTCGGCCTTGTAGGGGGATGTGTCGGCCTATGGGTACCCAAGGAAATGGCCACCCAATGATGGCCCGTTGAAACTTGAAAAAAAAAGTCCTCATTCATTGGGGTAGCCTCGTCGTGGTTGAACGTGTTCACTCATCGTCACTATCCTCTTCCATAGCCACATCACCCTCACTATCCTCATCCTCCTCGTCACGAGTTCGCTTCTGGCCGCGGTTCTCATCAGCTTCGTCACTCTTCAAAGCTGGGCTGGCAGCCGGTACGGTAGGCTTTTCGAAGGCTGATCCGGGTGGTGGTGCATTAAAGATGCTCTGCTGAAGCTCTGTTTGTTCCACAACGGTAGCGCCGGCCGTTGTGGGGATCTTGAAGGTGCCATCGAGTTTCGCTACGAAATGTGATTTGGATTTGGCGTATTGGATTTTCTAAGGCGAGTCAGTTACTCAGTGGTCAGATGAGGACCAGATCCAGGCTTCAAAGGAAAACGCACCATTGGGCGGCCCAAAAAGGTCTGTCCGTCTAATGATCTCATTGCCTGGGTCGCTGCCTGTATATCGCGGAATACAATATGGGCCTGGCCTCGCATCTCCATTGTCTTGAGGGCGACGATATCGAGCACCGGTCCAAAGGTTGAAAAGAGCATGTACAGTGCTGTTCGCAGGTCTGCTTTTTGTATCTTGGCTGACGGGAGGTTTGTAACATATAGACTAGATGGATGTTCAGTAGACCAAGATACCACCTCGGATTGACTTGACAGAGAGCAACTCACGTCTGGTTGGGAGGAATTGGCTGCACTTTCGCGGGCAGAGAGGCGTTCGGCGCGAGTCCGCGAGGAGGAGGGGCAGCAGCCGATGCCATTGTGCAGTTCAAGCAGGTCCAAATATTATCAAATAAGCCTCTTGCTCTATATATTTGAAGCAGCGTTCTCGTGACCTGTTGTCGTGTCGGAAATGTGCCTTGCAGTCGCTGGTTACTGGCGGTTTGTTTGGTTGAAGCGTGGAGTTTTTTTGGTTCCTCGATTGGCCTTGCGAGGTGTGGCCCCAGCTTCCAATCGCGCCAATGGCTTAGTAGGTCCATGTACCAGGTACCTTCACTTTGGCTGCTACCCGCTTATGGCCAGGGGCTCCATGTACTCCAAGCAGCCAGCAACGTCACCCCGCCATCCCGGTGGCTACAGCTCCGACCTCTCCCAAGCAACCTCCATAGCGCATCGTCACCTCCAGTCTCAGCCTCTATCATCCCGTATAGTCTCTGCTCTTTCTAGGCGATAGTAGAGAGCTACTCCTATCGCACCAGCTACCGCAAAAATGGCTGCTCCCGAAGTTCACCACCTTTTCCACAACCCCATTGCCGACCACTCGTTCTCGGCCGACCATGCAACTCTGGCTGTTGCCCGAGACTCGTCTGTTGAGCTGTACAGCAAGGCTGGAAATGCTTTCAAGCTGGCAGATGTGTTGAAGGGCCATGACAAGACGGTCACCAGTGTTGATATTGCCCCGAACAGTGGCCGCATTGTGTCTTGCTCGCAAGGTTCGATCTCGCCGCAGCCCCCTGCTCCGAGCCCCCTTCCACCTCGGATGCTGATACTTGATAGATCGAAACGCTCTGGTCTGGGAGCCCTCTCCTACTGGATACAAGCCCACTCTAGTCCTTCTTCGAATTAGCCGTGCTGCCACGTTCGTCCGATGGTCACCTTCCGAGACCAAATTTGCCGTGGGCTCCGGTGACCGCGTCATTGCCGTTTGCTACTTTGAGGAGGAAAACGACTGGTGGGTTTCGAAGCACTTGAAGAAGCCTATCCGCAGCACCATCACCAGCGTCGCTTGGCACCCCAACTCTGTGCTCCTCGCAGCCGGCTCTACCGATGCGCATGCCCGAGTTCTGTCCGCCTTTGTCAAGGGTGTCGATGAGCGTCCCGAGCCTGGCGTCTGGGGTGAGCGATTGCCCTTCAACACCATCTGCGGAGAATACTTGAACAACTCTGCTGGCTGGGTCCACTCTGTCGCCTTTTCTCCCAGCGGAAACGCTCTTGCATTTGCCGCGCATGACAGCAGCGTCACCGTTGTCTACCCTAGCGGCCCTGAGCAGCCCCCCAAGGCTGTCTTAAGCATTCCCACTCAGCTCCTGCCTTTCAAGAGCTTGCTCTGGAAAGCTGAAGATGAGATTATTGCTGCCGGCTACGATTGCGAGGCATTCCGTTTCCAGGGCGGCGAGGGAGGCTGGCAACTTGTTGGAACCGTGGAGTCCAAGGGCCACGCCGGCGCTGGCGAGCAGCGGGAGGAGTCTGCGCTGAACATGTTCAGACAGATGGATCTCAAGGGTAAAGTCAAGGATAACACACAGTTGAAGACGATTCATCAAAACACAATCTCTACTATTAGACCCTATGAGGTGTCTGGTGGAAAGGTCACCAAGTTTAGCTGTGAGTACACTGGCCATGCCTTTGTCAAAACTAGGAATATGAGATGACTAACAGCTACTTTAGCGAGCGGCGTTGACGGAAGAGTGGTGATTTGGGACGCTTAGAGTCGATAATCATAGAATATAATGAGGGCTACATGCTGCGTCTTTTGCGTAACTAACCATGGCGCATGCGCGAGCTTCGAGCGCCATGTAATTTGTCGACTACAGTCTATTAAGAGGTGGCACAAGTGTATTTAACTCATTGATTGGAATAGCATATAAAAATGTCTAAATATCAAACTTTTTAAGCATTCCTTGTGCAGCCATTTATGGCAGGGCAATAGCCTCAATCTCAACGTCGACGTTCTTAGGAAGCGTCTTAACGGCAACGCAGCTTCGCGCAGGCTTGTGAGAGAAGAACTTCTCGTACTCTCCGTTCATCTCCTACAGCGAGAGTGATGAGATTGAGTTATTTCGACAATTACCTAGTACTTATGGGTATGGATGACTTACAGCAAAGTGAGCCATGTCGGAGATGAAGATGGTGGTCTTGACGACTCTGGGCAGAGAAGAGCCGGCCTGCTTGAGAACGGCATCCAGGTTCTCGCAGCACTTTCTCGTCTTCTCAGCAATAGTGCCCTCAATCAGGGTGCCATCGGCAGTAAGAGGGATCTGGCCGGAGCAGTAGATGGCCGTGGGAGTCTTGATGGCTTGAGACTAAACAATTAATACCATGAGATGGTGTCTTTCACGTTATTGAATTCATTAAAACCAAGAGAAGCACTCACGTAAGGGCCGAGGGCTAGAAGCTCGTTGTTAGCCAAGCCAGATCCTCAATTGCTCCATAAATAAGCAATAATAATTTTGTTATGAATTATACTCACGGAAGGGGGCTTCCTTAGTGTACACGATAGTCTGGTCTGCCATTGTGGATTTTGGTCTCGCGAAAGCTGTGACGAGTGTAAACTTGGGTCTTGCAGCGAATAGCGCCGGCGGAGACGCGGCAAGGCCTCTGGCGAGGGGCCGAGCTGTGCTGCGAGCAATTGGTAACATACCTACCTAATGGGTGTGTTTTTGGTTCTTGGGGGGAGATTGCTAACAAGATGGAATGGGGAGAGGAGGAAGTAATGGGCTTGGAAATTTCAGAAAGGTTCAATGCGTTTATTTGTAAAAGAAGCTTTGGCGTCCTTGGACCCCTCCGACTGCCGGAAGCTCCCCCGCCCTTCCAATGGCAGTGAGTGGCGCTTTCTGCCGGCCCAAAGAAGAAGCGCGGTGGATCGCAGCTTGGAGAGCAATGGCAAGCAACTTGAGGCTCTGATTGTGGCAATGGGATTTTACGTTATGCTAGGCCTGCATGCGTGTTTGTTGAGCGCCATGTTGATGATATGCAGCTGCTCTATCTATCTACTTATAAATCTGTCTGCCAATTTAGATCCAATTGGTGTAGGTATATCGGAAGGGAAGAATCTCTTGGCTCCATCATAAACACGGTTACTGAACGAGTGCTACTTTCCCATCTCTTCAACGTATTGATACATGTATGCTGTATGCTCGCAGCCTCGCTACTCTTTTTTTTCCCTTTTTTTTTGAGTATTGCTATTCGGGCAGTAGATTTTTGCTATTCGGGCGGTATTCCCACCTAGACTAGCCTATTTTAGCTAGATTCAGCAGCGCCTAAGCCAGTCCACTAAAAAACAGTGTAATGCACTGGGATGTACAGAATTTACTATGAAAGAATACTGCTGCTTTATTTAGTTTAATTGTAGCCGCCTAGATTGATTAGGACTGCCTAGATTGATAGAGGTCATCCGGTTTAATAGAGGTCATCCGGTTTGATAGAGGTCATCCGGTTTAATAGAGGTCATCTGGTTTAATAGAGGTCAATAGGATTGTTTGAGGTTACCTTGTTTAACTGAAGCCGCCTAGTTCAACTGCAGTTAACTGGTGTAATTGAGATCGACAAGGCCAATGAGGTTATTTGAAGTTGCCTGCATTAATCAGGACCGCCTAGGTTAATTAAGGGCGCCTGCATTCATCGCAGTCAACCGGCTTGATCAAGGTCAATGGGATTGTTTGAAGCTACCTGCGTTGATGAAGGTCACCTAGATTGATTGCGGTCAGCCGGTTGGTTAAAGTTGCGATAGCTTTAAATTGCACCTTTTAGCTAACTGTATACTGTTTTACCTTTTATAACTTAACACTGTAATTTAGTGTAAAAAGCTGGGCTGCATAAGCCTAGGCTATATTAGGCTAGGCCAGGTGGGAATACTGCCCGAATAGCAAAAATCTACTGCCCGAATAGCAATACTCTTTTTTTTTTGGAGACAGCCGAATTCAGACGGGCTGAGTCAACGAGCGATAAACGAGATGCACGGCCAAGCCGAAGAGAAAATAGCCATTCAAGGCCAGACTCTTCCACTGGCTGGGTCTCACTTATAATAAGTAATCCGTTGTCATCCCATGTGTATAAACGCTCCCAGCGCCTACCTGCCAATAGCGGAAACGGCTGGGCTATATTGGGCTTACGCATCTTCTCGATCATTTACAGGGTCTCGCGTCGGCAGTTTGAAACACCCAGAGCGCAGAGTACACGCTACTTTGAGTCAAGCCGGCATGTGATGCGACGAAGAGAGACGGAAGGCGAAGGATTACATCTGGAAACGTAGATGCGGTCTTCGCAGGTCAAAGATAAGATACAGGCTAAATAAATAAATAGATGAGCGAATAACTGCTTTTATGTGCACCAAACACTTGGTGTTTTCCATTTATCCTGCTTCCTTCAGCCAGGTGGCTTGGACGAGCAACGAGGTACAAAGTACCTGCTGTGGCTCTGCGCTGACCCCTGCAACGTTAGTGGCTCCAGGGTCGAGACGAAGACACGTTCGCCTCAGCTCGACTCAGCCGTCTTCATCCAATTCCACTTACGGGAGGCTCAATCAACCCCCAATTCGGGCCTCTGCCGCGCGACGCTTCTGCGGGCTCTCTTTCTCCTTTTCTCTTCTATTCCCTCTTTCGTTTTATTTATATCTCTTCCATTCTCTCCTAGCCGGCGCGGAGCCAAGTTTTCTCTTTCTTGTAAGTCCTGGTGCCGCCGAGACATGCAGCCTCAGTTCCACATGCCCTAGCTCTTTGTCTTCGATTGTGAGCTTCTCGAGATCTGGCATCACCCCAGGTCCAGACTGCACAAGTTCTGCCGCACTGCTCTTCACAGACCTCGCTGACTCTCCACTTGTGAAGCTTCCTAGAGCCATGGCTCGAGCTTCAACGCCGCAGGGAAGCCTGCGACAGCGGGGCGTAGCGTCCAAGCAGACGCTCAACGACTCTACGTTTGCCCCCGAGGTCGAGCTCGATAAGCTGTCCAAGGCAGCCGCATCATCGCGTCAAAACATCCAGCGAGGCGAGATTGAGCACAAGATTGCATTGACTGTGGTTACCATTCTCGGCTTCGTCACTCGATTCTGGGGTATTAGCCACCCTGATGAGGTGGTCTTTGACGAAGTGCACTTCGGAAAGGTAAGGGCCATCATGCCAACATGCATTGGTATAATCAAGGCTTGAAACTACAAGAGCGCTAACTGGACAATTGCTTAGTTTGCTTCATACTATCTTGAACGAACCTACTTCTTCGATGTGCACCCTCCCTTCGCCAAGCTGCTCTTCGCCTTTGTTGGCTGGCTGGTTGGATATGACGGCCACTTCCACTTCGAAAACATCGGCGACTCCTACGTCGCCAACAAAGTTCCCTACGTCGCTTTCCGAGCCCTGCCCGCCATCCTCGGTGCATTGACTGTGTCCGTCACATATTTGATCATGTGGGAGTCAGGCTACAGCTTGCCTGCTTGCCTTGTCGCCACCGGCTTGATCCTTTTGGACAATGCACACATTGGCCAAACACGCTTGATTCTCCTCGATGCCACCCTGGTTCTCGCCATGGCCTGCAGTCTCTTGTGCTACATCAAGTTCTACAAGCTGCGGCACGAGGCTTTTAGCAGGAAATGGTGGAAGTGGCTCATCTTGACTGGCTTTGCGCTGTCCTGCGATATCTCGACCAAATATGTTGGCCTCTTCGCTTTTGTTACCATTGGCTCTGCCGTTATTATTGATCTCTGGGATCTTTTGGACATTAAGCGACGCAACGGTGCTATCAGCCTGCAATTGTTTGGAAAGCACTTTGTAGCCCGCGCCATTGGGCTCATCGTTCTGCCATTCCTTTTCTATCTTTTCTGGTTCCAGGTGCACTTTGCCGTCCTGACTCGATCCGGTCCTGGCGACGACTTCATGACGCCAGAATTCCAGGAAACTCTAAGCGACAACGTCATGCTGGCAAATGCCATCGATATTCACTACTACGATTACATCACCATCAGGCACAAGGAGACCAAGGCCTACCTTCACAGCCACCCCGACACCTATCCCCTGAGATATGATGACGGTCGTATCTCCAGCCAAGGCCAGCAGATCACCGGTTATCCTCACAACGACACAAACAACTACTGGCAAATTCTTCCTTCCAACAATGAGCAGAATTCGGACCGGATTGTCAGGAACTTGGACCTGGTTCGACTTAGGCACATTGTCACAGACAAGATTCTGCTCTCTCATGATGTCGCTTCGCCGTATTACCCCACTAACCAAGAGTTCACCGCCGTGTCTTCTGAGGAAGCGTTTGGCGAACGCCAAAACGATACTCTTTTCGAGATTCGAGTTGAGACAGCCAAGGCCGGCCAAGAGTTTAAAACTGTTGCCAGCCATTTCAAGCTTATCCACTTCCCCAGCAAAGTTGCCATGTGGACACACACCTCTCCTCTTCCCGATTGGGGCTACAAACAGCAGGAAATCAATGGCAACAAGCAGGTCACAGTCAGCTCCAATGTGTGGATTGCCGAGGACATTCCCTCGCTTCCTCAAGATCACGCCCGCCGCCAAAAGGAGCAGCGACAGGTGAAGACACTGCCGTTCCTTCGCAAGTGGTTTGAGCTGCAGAGGTCCATGTTCTACCACAACAACAAGTTGACCAGCAGCCACCCGTACGCCAGCCAGCCTTATCACTGGCCGTTCTTGCTTCGCGGAGTGAGCTTCTGGACTCAGAATGACACACGTCAACAAATCTACTTTGTTGGCAACCCCGTTGGCTGGTGGATTACCAGCAGTCTTCTGGCTGTTTTTGCTGGCATCATCGCAGCTGATCAAATCTCTCTCCGTCGAAACATTGATGCTCTAGACCATCGTAAGTACCCTTCTCGGATTCCCTTTTCATTCAGAAACCCGAACCTCTCTTTCCAGTGCACTCTCTAACCCATCTTCAAAACAGGCACTCGTTCGCGACTATACAACTCTACGGGCTTCTTCTGGCTTGCCTGGGCTACTCACTACTTCCCATTCTACCTTATGGGTCGTCAGCTCTTCCTTCACCACTATCTCCCTGCCCATCTGGCCTCCTGTCTGGTCACAGGTGCTCTCGTCGAGTTCATCTTCAACTCTGATTCGGTAGAGGAGGAGTCTCCCAAGTCTGGCAACCGTTCTGGTCCCAAGAGACACATTACGGCCCGTGAGCGATTCGCCGGTAAGAGCATGCTTGGTGCCTGGATTGCCTGTGCTGTGATTCTCTCTGCCGCTGCCGCTTGCTGGTACTTCTTCTTGCCTTTGACCTATGGCTATCCTGGATTGTCCGTAGACGAAGTTGTCAGGAGAAAGTGGCTCGGATACGACCTCCACTTCGCCAAATAAGCGAATAGAGGTCTCATGGGGCCTAGCGATGGTGCTGATGAAGAGCAGCGGATTTGAATGGAGACGATTTTGTTTTAGGCTGTTAAGAGCCGCTGCAACGTATTGTCAACAGCTAAAACGTGTGAGTGGAGGTAGCTCGTTTTATGATGCGATATAGGAGACTGTGTATGTGTACAATAAAAGGGGGTGGATTAGTAGAGGGGTAAGAATGCGTGGAGTTGAACAAAAAGAATAGCATATCTTGTCAAATGCAGAATAATAAATGACTTACTTCTAAATTCGAAATTTCAACCTGTACTATTATTAGATGCTACTACTAATAGATACTAAGCTACACTTCGTGTAATAAATTGGGTATCAGACGATGCAAATGACTGCCTATATCTGCCCACCAGCATTGTTACGTAAGCTGTAATGAGCACCCGCTGGCTGGAACTCTATCGTCATTCTCCAGGGATAAAGATGAAGGCACGTCAAGCTCCCCAACACCAATGTTCTAATTGCCGCGTCGCGCCTACGAATTGGCGCGATGGGCTGGCATAGCGATCCCCATTTCATGATACTAGCGAGTGCCTGAATTCTTGCATGTGCTTCTCACCTTTCAATTCGTGCATTGCGCGTCTATAGACAACGATGCTGCTTTCAGGAGCAAACAGGCTGTACCTCCGTCGAATACTTCGCTGGCGAGTGACGAGGATCGCACTACTTCTTCTATTTGTGATCAACATCTTTGATATTCTGCGAATACAACGTGACATCGTCCATGGAGACCGAGAACACAGGCTACGCAGCGGCAGCGGCGCGGTACGACGGCGCGAGAGGATATACATTGCGAGCATGCATTGGAACAATGCAGAGGTGTTGAAGGACTACTGGAACGATGCGGTAATTAAGCTTACTGAGACATTCGGCGCCGACAATGTGTTTGTGAGCATATACGAGAGCGGGAGCTGGGACGACAGCAAGGAAGCTCTACGAATGTTAGATGCAGAGCTTGAAAAGAGGAACGTACCGAGACGGGTCGAGGTATCAGAGACCACGCACTACGACGAGATAACGAAGCCGGAGAAAGAGAGAGGCGAAGGGTGGATAGACACATCGAGGGGAAGGGAATTGAGAAGGATTCCATATCTAGCGAAGCTGCGAAACAAAACGATACAGGACTTGATTGAGTTGAGCAAGAAGGGAATCACGTTTGATAGAGTGCTGTTCCTCAACGATGTGGTATTCACGGTACGAACCAACAAACACATGTGCTCTATATACAAGCGAACAAAGTTGAACTGAAAACTGACAGGCGGACTTTGTGAAATAGGTTGAAGATGTGTTGACGTTGATGGACACCAATGGCGGAAACTACGCCGCAGCATGCTCCATGGACTTTTCGAAGCCTCCGCTATACTACGATACCTTTGCCCTACGCGACATCGAAGGAAATGCGCATGTTATGCAGACATGGCCATATTTCAGGTCCAGGACTTCCAGGAATGCATTAGTGAACCACTTGGACGCTGTTCCAGTGACCAGCTGCTGGAACGGCATAGGTTAGCGACACCCAACCGGTAGATACATTCTCCAGGACGCTAACATATATTTTCTTTTAGTCGTCATGCCCGCTGAGCCCTTCGTCTCGTCGACGCAACTTCGCTTCCGTGCTGTCCCCGATTCCCTCGCCGCTCACCACCTAGAGGGCTCCGAATGCTGCCTCATCCATGCCGATAACCCTCTGTCCAGGACAAAAGGCGTCTATCTCAACCCACGAGTGAGAGTAGGTTACAATTACCCGGCGTATGCAGCGACACATCCTGCCACGAAGGCCTGGGTGTCTCCGTGGGATATCTTCACTGGCCGGTGGGTAAATAGAATAAGGAGATGGACGTCGTGGACTTTTGATTCGTGGGTAGTGAGGTGGAGAGTAGGACGCTGGGAGAAGGAGAAGAAAGGGAATCGCGAGCCTGGTGAGTTTTGTTTGATCAATGAGATGCAAGTGTTGGTCCACAACGGGTGGGCTCATGTGTGATTTCTATGGGAAATCATTCAATAAATCGAATGGACAACGAGATAAAATCAACTATTGTAGAGTATAAACGTCTAACTGCTTTTAATATCTCACGCTACAACATCTTCCGGCATGACTACGTTTCTTAGTAGGCTATGTGGTCGATTCTCCCGCATCCGTTTAACAGCCTCCTTGTACAGCTTCGGAGAATCTGCGAGTTGCGGATCCTCCCTCACCATCTCATCCATCTTCCGAGAAACACTAGGCAGTGTATGCGATACCTTGGCCTTGCACAGAGTAGCCAAAAAACCAATGTCCTCTGACATGGACAAGTTTACTGCGTCTATGACCTCCGGATCTGTCCATTCTAGTTCCTGAATAGCACGAAGTAGCGCTTTGTTGTGTTTCTTACCGCCGGGACGATCTACATTGACGCCGCAACAGAATCCGTCGTCATCATCAAAGATGAGATTAGGGTTAGGGACAATGTTGAAAACGAGGCATGTGATGATGAAGAGATTCCGGCAGAGGAACTTTTCGATATCGCCAGTGAGACCGGTGAGGGATAACCCAAGGGCTTTGCCGATGAAGCGGAGGCGAACTTGGCCGTCGTAGCTTGGGAGGGCGAAGGGGGGGACTGAGTATTTGGAGTCAGGGGGGATGACGCCTCCGTACATGTTGGTTGAGACGATGGCCCATTTGGTGAAGAAGTTGTCAGAGAGGTCTGTTTGCTGGAGGCGTTTTTGGGTTCTTTCTCTGATGTATGCGAGGAGGTTTTGGATTTGGGGGCAGCTATGGTCATCGGGAAGAATGGGAGAGGGAGATGAGGGAGCGGTATAGAAGGACGCAGTGGATGAAGGCGAAGGCGGGGGCAAAGACGGAGGAGAGTGTTCGTGTGTAGATGGATATGTGGAGTTGTTATCTTCGAATGGGTTGCCATACCGGGGTTGAGGCGCGAGAATACTTGCTTGAGAGGCTGCTTCAATAATATTCGGCATGGAATTGTTAAGATATGAGAGACAGCAAGGTCTTTCTAGGGCTTGAGTTATCAAAAGATCAAACTCATTTGGAGTCGTATGACGAGAACCTCCTCTGAGTTCGACTTCCTCATCTTCAGGGATTGGTTCGAGCTGGGGCCCTTGCCTCGACATCTTGATGGATGACTTGTGGTAGAAGCTTTGATAGATGGAGATGAGGATTTGTATGAATGATGGCAGTCGAATAACGATATTTACTGCGAATTTCTAGGATTTTCTCTTGTCTCGGATTCTTCCACCCCTTGGATTTGATGATTGGAACTAGCGAAAGTTGCATAACAAGACCTTTAGGCTACTTATGAGTGGCAGTACTCTTATATATACACTTATACAGTTATAAAGGAGTTTTGAAGAACCCTGTTCAGAGATGTTACAGTTTGGTAGTCAAGGCTGTTGACTAGATGAAATGATAATGAAGATAGATCTCCTTGTCCAGAGATCAGAGGCTCAGAATGAAAAGTGCATATGTGAGTTCATCTAAACATGTAGGCGGCCTTGTCACCATTTAGATTCTACGATTGAACAGCCTAGGCATCTTAAAGACTCGGAAGACAAATAATTAACTTGCGTAGAGCAGTATTCGCAGCCTATCCGACTTCAACGATGGCTTAGGGAGAAGGAGAGAAAGAAAAAGGGGAAAGAAGGAACAAGAGAAAGGGAAATTTCGGCTGTATGAATTTACCTAGCGCCTAGATCAGATCATCAGCGGCACTGGCGCTTATTGTAACGATATGGTGGTACACAAGACGGGGATGGTAGCAATCAATCCTCTTTCTAATATCTAGGTACAAAGGGTAACCCCCGGCTTTGTTCACAGACTTTTGTAGCCGCCATTTGCAAATGCCCTGAAAGTTCTTTGTGAATTCCAGCTCTTAGAGCGCTGTCTTTCACGCTGTTTTTCGTCGCTCAAGGCATCAATTTGGCAATGGGTTGAATGAAGTATCAAAGGTAATAATTATGCCTCCCTTTTTTCCTTTCTATTTCCTTTTTTTACCTTTTGCTACTATTGGCATCCCCCCTGGTCATTGGATTTCAAGGTATGTACTCCATGATGTGGTATATTTTCGCGACTCACATACTCATCTTATAGCATTTTGCGTGTTGACCCTAGCAGCTACCATATGCCTATTTTGTCCAAAGCGAGAAAATACTATGATAAAATAGATATATGCGGCTTTTTAAAGCATTGCTCCCCAGTAATCTTCTAAGAGCGTTATATATTTTTCTCCCCTCTCCCTCCATCTGGCTTAGAGTAGCATCTATCCCAATAATCAGATCTAAAAGGGCTTAAACTTCTTCAACTGTCACTGGAAGGTAGATTTACTTCCATATAGAGGGAGATGGTTGAATAGACCCTAGCTCGCAACCAGTTTTTAAAACTCTGGGAAGTTTACACGTGGCCTGGCTGGCAACAGAGATGAAATAGTTGAGTCACACAACTACCTCCAAAGCCTTTGTTTCCTCATTGAGTGTTCTTTTTTCCCTCATCCTATTACAACTACCGTGTCACCCTTCTAGCTACGTCACTGGCATGGAACCCTCAATGTCGTTTACTGGTGTTGGCGATACAGTTGAGCTTGGCCTTGACTCGGCTAAGCTGAAACTTACATAGCCGTGTCAGAAACAAACAAACAATATATATATATATACAGCTGAGATAGATGTCGAGCGATTATTGCAACTCAAAGATTCGAAAGTCAAAAGCTTCAAACAGCAAGGGTCAAGGTATTTGAACGCCAGTCAAAGTTACCCTCCAAAACCCGCGCTTATAATCTCTACATATCTCCCAGCGTTGCCAATCATATCAACAGCTTCAAAGCATTGAAAGAGCAAAGAGCCCAAGCACACGCGCGTTATTATTACAAATGCCATAGTTCCCAGATCAGTGACCCCTTCGATGCTTCGTGTAAATGAAAACACCGCCACCCAAAGCCCGGTATACGACAGGCGGTGGTGGTATTTTGTCACGCCATACCAAGCGGCGGCGGCGATGGGTCCAATTAACAGGCTGGAAGACTTAAGCGGCAGTGGGCATAGAACGGAGCCGCAAATTTGCAAGTCTCGGAAACATGAGGAACAAGGGACTTTGGCCGGTTGACAGACCAGGCCAGGGACGCATGAACTCGAAGATCAAAGCCCCCCCAGTTCTGTTCTGATGTGGGCCCACCACAATTCCTGTTCTCATTGGTGGGCTAGTCCCGTTTGGGCAATGGCCGAAAATGGCCAGCAGAGTCACTCTGTGTCATGTTCCCGCCTATCAGAAAAGCCAGTCAAGTTGCGTGCTGCTGGCTTTCTGCAAGTTCTCTTGTTTGGCTTTCTCTGGTCGGGATGAATGGTGCCGAGTCTTGACGCTGCTGTTGTCTGCCGCTCGCTGAGCAGGTGACCAAAAAGCAAGATCGGCAGAGAAGTAGCCGTCTTGCTCTATCAGGTCCGTCCGGGTTCGATCCGGGTCTTGGCCTTGGAAAATACAATAGTACAGTATGTAGTAGTAATGGGTGCAGTAGGTATGTAGGTATGCACTGTATGAAGTGCGGATGGGGTACACGGCCGGCCACATCTGCTGCTCGCCGCGCCCAGCAGCAAACGGTACCTACGCATTGCGCTGCTATTGTTGGACACGACGGCTGGGTAGTAATGCATGTCCAAAACTCCCTTGTTATCCCATTCACTCACTCGTTCGTTCCCACTGTCAGACTCGCGCAGATGCAGCTCTGCGGAGTACATGCAGCAACAGTAATCGTAGTTTCTTGGGAATTCTGCGTATCCCTTGGATAGGCGCCAGAGTGCCCTCGCCCTCTGCTCCCGCCTCTCTCACCACCACTATCTAATATCTACTATCCACCGGTGTGATGCACGTCAAATTCCGGCCAATACCACTTGAACCTGAGGCACGTCGCTTTCGATCCACACGTAGGGCTGGAGCAGCCGGTTGCTAGACACGAAGGGGTTTGGGAGGTGCAGCTTCTCGGGCTTGACTCATTCCCTAGGTCTCGCCGCAGATCGATGCGCGCTCTCGGCTTCGCTGTCCTGCATAATGGGCTCCGTCAAAAAAGCGAATGTGACCACAGGGAGCAGGGAGTTACTGTACAGTAGAGTCTGCATGATACTGTACGGAGTACATGTCCTTGTACGAGGGCTTGGTCATTGGCCAGCGCCTTGCTGTCTCCCCATTGTCACAGCTCTGTCGTATAAGCGCAGAGTATCACTACAATATGCATACAGGCCCAAAGGATGCGAGAAACAAGTCATCAATTTCGCTTTTCCCCTCTTCTGTTCTTTCCGGCTTTTTGTCTTTTTGCCAACCAGAAGGTACTTTTTTCCAAAGCTGCATGTAGGCAGTACTTTGAGCGTTTGGCTCGGCCAATCACGCATCTTCATATCGAGCAGCCTGCTAAGGCACCCAAATTCCAAGCTTAGCTCGCCAGACCCCAGCAGCGCTTCTCCCCTCAATACGGCGCCGATTAGTCGCCCCCCTCGTACATATGACATACATGATCGTGGCACATGTGAAGTCCGGGATATGCAGTAATGAGTTGACCTCAGCTATTGGGCAAAGACAGAAAGCGGGGATGTCAAAATGCGGCTGCCTTCACAAGCTCGTCCAAAAGGGCCCCGGTAAAAGTGCCGGGAACTGAAGTTTTTGGGCAATGCGGCTCTTCTGGACGGTTTTTGGGTTTGTCTCGACGGTTTGTTCTAACGCGATATGGCCACATGGACGTTGCTACTATATCTGCATACCCTGCTTGCGTGGGCTGGTGATGCAATCTCAGACCTTTTTGTTTTTGATCTCGTCTGCTTTTTGATTTTCAGCTGAACGCATGGAAACGACAAGGGTGATGAATTCGGCACGCAATGTGCTTGCGTGTCCCATCTTCTCTCCTTACGACTCCATACTTCAGGCAGTCGTATTTCTGAGCTTTTGGCGATATACACGCCCCTTTAAACTCAAGGCACCGAAATTATTATATTCTTGTCTTCCAGGCAGCTTCATTTTTTGTTCGAGTCCATGCGACCAGGAGAAAAAAAAAAAAAAAAAAAAAAAAAAAAAAAAAAAAAAAAAAAAAAAAAAAAAAAAAAAAAAAGAACCATTATCTAGATGAACCTAAAATAGATTTTTTTTTTGTAACAGCTGAATCGTTCCTAAACGCTCGTAATGCGCTCGTGCCGCTGGCGATCTGGCTAATCCCAGCCTACCCTTGAGTTGTGTGATCTATGATCCTGGTGCCCGTCAACTTTATACAGGCTGCGGAGTAAAAATTCCTACTTTCGTCTTCTTTGGTTGTTTCTTCCACCCGCCAAAGGGGTTAGCTGAATTTAGGCCGATCGAAGATGTTGCTACACATCATTTCATCATCATCCTTTCCGACAGCCGAGCTCCTTTAGCAGCCTTGCCATTAACCAATAATTAAAGACCGGGAAAACGGTCGTAGGAATGGTGATAGACCATTGATGCAAACGGTAGGAGAAACCAATCAGTCGGCTAAAATCCGACTACGAGCTAATTAAGACCTGTAATTTAACGCAAGAAACCTCATGTAGTGCAGGGCATTGCTGCGTTGTCAACCTCTGGCTGCCGCTGCAATTCGCCCGCAAAAGGTACCCGGATGGGTGGGCTCCATCACTTCTTGGACTTTCACCAAACAGCGGTGGCTCAGTCGCAGAAAAGAGCCTGCGGCAGGTTGGGCATGTGGGAACAGCTTTGGAACTAATCCTACTGGTACGACTGATAGCGCTCTGCAGAGTGGCAGCGCAAAATCGCATATGCAAGGGAGGAGAGACGAGCAAGGAACATGAAGCAATAGGCGGGCATTGTTGGTGTGCCCTTTATTTTTTTTTTGCGGGTCGCGCAGACCAACAACGGCCAGCCACTGATCCCTGCACAGGCGCGAGGCTTCACGATAGGCTCATGGACGCCGCGGTGGTGCTGGAGCTCGCACTGTCGGCACGTCACCAACTGTCACACGAGTGGGCTTTTGCGTGCCCTGTGCATCGTTTTTTGGCGGTCACCACCCTGAAGCTGTTGGGCAAGCAGCAAGAAGAGGAGGAGGAGGAGGAGGAGGAGAAGGAGGAAGAAGAGGAGCCTGCTTGACCGTATTACGTGGAAACGCGCCAGAGTCGTCGGAAATTCGACCTTGACCGACAACGGCAATAATAGCTGTCCTTTTCGCCCAGCGCAATATTAGGGAGTTTTACTAGCATGAGTAGTGAGTCGGACTCGCTTGGTATTTACAACGGCGGAGCACAGCAGGATTTGGGTTTCTGACTTCTGACTCTCCGGGGAAGCTGGGCCGGATCGCAGAAGACAGGTACCGGGGGGGCTTTGAGTGCGAAGCGCGAAGTACTGTGCTGCTGATTTCCGAGCCGGAATACACGGGACCAGAGACACGGCTGTCGCCCGCGATAGCGTCGCGACCTGAGTCGCTATCAGTGGCACAAGCCCCCCGTCTGCTCGCCGCAGCGCAGGCCAGCATCGTCGCTGCTCCCTTGCCTTGATGCTGCCAGCGCCCGGGCCCCCATAGCACAGCGCCGGCGCCGCACTAGGCCGGTGGCACCGCTCTGGCCTGAGCGCGCTGTTAGTGCGGCGAGTACCGTTGCGGCTCTCCCTACCGCCAGGTACCGCCAGCGGCCTCAGTGGGCAGGGATGCTCGTCCTCCGCAGCGCTTACGCCTCAGCCCACACCTGCGCTAGGCCCAAACAGGGACGCCTGTTAGGCAGCAGCCTGCGGTGGGCTGAGTCCGGACTGGTTTCTAATCCGTCTCCAAGCCTCTCTCTCGTCTTCTTCTCGTCCTCCCCTCGACCTCGACCTCGACCTCGACCTCGTCCTCGTTTCTGTCCTTGCTGCTTCGTTTGTGCCTTGTCGCATTCTGGACTCGTGCTTGCGTGCATCAGGCCTAGTTACTGCCCCAATCCACGCCCCTCCCCGGTCCTCTCCACTCCCTGGAGTTGTATCTCGGTCCCTCTCGCGCCCACCCTCTTTTCCCATCCCCGTGTGTCCCGGGTCCTTGCGTCCATATATCCAATTTACGCCCCGTCCTCGTTGAGTCCTGTTTGCATCTTCTCTGCTGCATACTTCGCGCCTCTCTTTGTTCTCGTCAAAACAACCCTCTCGAGTCGCCATCACTCCAGCATCGGCGTCTCTCGCATATCCAGCCTGTTCTAGCATAGGAGCCGTTAACCCCGGATACAATTGAAAGCGCTCTGCTCGAGATTGATTGCCTGAGCTTCGCTCGTCTCGCATTGACATTTGCACTGGCTCGCTTGCCCGTCCAACACACTGTGGGCTAGGACTGTCCATTCGGATCGAGCCTATTCATTGGTAAGGTTTTACTTTTCTTCTTTCTCATATATCTGGCCTTCTCTTCCCTGCTGGCCCTCATCGCCTCAGGCATAGCCCTCGTCTATCTTCGGGCTTGTGACTCACACGCCTGTCGACCCTCCATTAGAGCCTCATTGCTACATCGACCTCTTCTTCTGTCGACAAGGAAGCTAACCGCTTGTTGCTACGTGGATAGGACTCTTGTGGCCATATCTCATCAATCTTCTTCCCCACCCAGGGAAGGAAAATCCAGATCTAAGCCGCCATGTCCCTCCCAAACCCCCGCAGACGGGCTCCGGTGACTCGCCTGGGAACCGATTGCGAACATGATCTTTCACTTAAGACGGCTGCCATCCTTCGCAAGGGTGCCACCTTCCACTCTCCTACATCTCCCACTTCTTCCAACGACGACTTCGTTCCTCCCAGGCTTGAGAGATCCCAATCAGACTTTGATGATGTGGTCGATGCCAGCCGGCGTCGTATTGCCCTGACTCTGAACGACATCGACGAGGCCCTCTCCAAAGCAAAGGACCTCTCCCTGTCCGACAAGAGCCCCCGAAGCCAGACCCTTCGGGACACAAGCCTGCCTGTTCCTCGTGGCTTCCTCGAGATGCCTGTTGTCGACCCCGCCATGGAGCGACGGGTTCTGCGCCCTCGCTCCGTTCGACGCTCACGAAACCATGCCTCTGACAGCGGCATTGGCAGTTCGGCCGCCTCTACAAACGAAAAGGCCGCTGCCACAGACTATACCAAGAAGCCCCAGGTATCCGCCCTCACCAGGTCGGCTGCCTCTAGCACCACCGCAATGCTTCCCAGCCTCAGCCCTCGGGCTATCAACCGCATCCGCGAACACACTCTCCGTCCTCTCCTGGAGAAACCCACACTCAAGGATTTTGAACCCATTATTTTGGATGTGCCTCGACGCATTCGATCCAAGGAAATTATTTGCCTGCGAGATCTCGAAAAGACCTTGATCTTCATGGCACCGGTAAGTCGACTTCTGACTGATGATGGTGTTTGGGGTGATGCTTATCGGTTGTTACGTCAAAAGGAGAAGGCCAAGTCCGCCGCCTTGTACCTTGATTTCTGCCTCACGTCCGTCCGATGCATCCAGGCGACTGTCGAATATTTGACCGACCGCGAACAAATCCGGCCCGGCGACCGACCTTACACTAACGGATACTTTATCGACTTGAAGGAGCAAATTTACCAGTATGGCAAGCAGCTCGCTGCCATCAAGGAAAAGGGCAGCCTTGCCGACGACATGGATATTGACCAGTATGTACCATGCTTTATTCCTCTCATCAATGTAGAGAGCCCTACTAACGCCCCGCCAAGATCTGACGAGGTCAGACTCTATGGTGGCATCGCCGAGAATGGCCGCCCTGCTGAGCTTGTCCGTATCAGAAAAGACGGCACCGCCATTTCAATGGCCACTGGAAAGGTAGTAGACATGGCCGAATCTCCCGCACCCATGAAGCGCTCCCTGAGCCAGCAGCGTGAGGATGAGGAGGAAATCATGCGGTCCATGGCCCGCCGGAAGAAGAACGCCAGCCCCGAGGAGCTGGCTCCCAAGAAGTGCCGCGAGCCTGGCTGCACCAAGGAGTTCAAGCGCCCCTGCGACCTCACCAAGCACGAGAAGACTCACTCTCGTCCCTGGAAGTGCCCCTTCCCCACTTGCAAGTACCACGATTATGGCTGGCCCACCGAGAAGGAGATGGACCGCCACATCAACGACAAGCACTCAGATGCCCCTGCCATGTTCGAGTGCCTGTTCAAGCCCTGCCCCTACAAGTCGAAGCGTGAGTCAAACTGCAAGCAGCACATGGAGAAGGCACACGGATGGACCTATGTCCGCACCAAGACCAACGGCAAGAAGGCCCCCAGCCACAACGGCTCTGTCGCCCAGCAGACTCCTCCTCTCGCCAGCGTCTCTACTCCTTCTACCACCCCCTCCTACAGCGTCCCCACGCCTCCACAGGAGGGCGCTCAGATCATGACCAATGATTTCCCTCTTTACCCCGCCGAGGCGGATTGGCTGGCCACCTACGGCATGCAGCCTGAGACCATTGATGCCATGGACCTTGCTCTTGAGAATCCTTCTCCTTCTTCTGCAGCATCCTCGTACGAGCAGTACCCACCCTACCAGAACGGCTCCACCTTTATCATCAACGATGAGGATATCTACGCTGCCCACGTCCAGATCCCTGCTCAGCTTCCCACCCCCGAGCAAGTCTACAGCAAAATGATGCCTCAACAGATGCCAATCTACCACACCCAGCCACAACCCTGTGCTACCATCCCCGCCATGGCACAGCAGCAGGAGTTCTCTCCCAACGCACAGCAGAACGCGGTTTTGTACACACCAACCTCACTACGTGAAGTCGATGAGGGCTTTGATGAGTCTTTTGCTTCTGACGGCGCCGACTTCCAACTGTTCCCAGCGTCACTAGACAAGACAACCGTTTTCCAGTCTCTGTTTACAGAGATGCCAAGTGCCAACCTGGGCTTCTCCCAGGCTACACAGCCAGACATCTTCCAACAGATGGATTGCTGGAACCTTGATTACCAGGGATTCCAAGAATAAATCAAGAAATAAAGAATGACAGAACCTCCCCAAGGAAAGACGATAAAAGACGTCTTTGCATTGTTATCAACACTTTACCCCATTCACCACTACACTTGTTTTAACGATTTTACGAAAAGATTTCGGCAGTTTTAATGATTAAAAGGGTTGCCTTGTGTATTAAGATTTTTTTTTTCATTCTACTCCTTTCTCATTTGCACTTGAGACGTTTTGCGTGCACAAAAGAAGCATACAGAACAGCTGAAGGTTTGGCCAAACGGGCCACTGAGGAGGGATTACAGTTAGCTTTGGGTATGAAAGGGATAAGCACTGCGATCTTAAAGACGCTGATATGTTGCTACCTGGAGTAAAGTTTGACTTTTATTTCAATTCAATAAGAATTATTTAGAAGAATTTGTGTGTGCCTCTTGCTTTTGTGACATGACATGTTGGCTAGTGGGTAGCCCTGTGAATAATAGTCGGCCTCAATGTAAATAAAGTAAGTAATAGATATAGCTCTGACAAAAAGGAAGAGTAAGACCCGCAGCCAAAAAAAAAAAAAAAAAAAAAAAAAAAAAAAAAANACTGCAAAAGTTGAAGTCTCCGATACTGGGAATCGAACCCAGGGCTGCTCGGTGCTTCAACAGAAGTTGAGAGCGAGCGATGTTAGCCACTACACCATATCGGATGTGTTGAGTTGAGCGATGGTTGTCGCTTGACTCGTTGAGATGTAGGAGCGTGAAGTGGTAGATAACCTCTTGAAAATTTCCATGAGAGTTGAGTGGAGTTGAATAGTGGAGTGGTAAAAATAAGTGGAAAAAGGAAAGTGTTTGATTGCACAATGCAAGCTAATACATAGGGAAAAGTGGTACTAGCTTGAAAGGAAGAAAAAGAGCCAAAAAAGAAAAGCGGAGAAAAGAAAGAAAGAATGAGTGTGAAAAATCACAAAAAAGAAATCATTTCATGTCTCCGATACTGGGAATCGAACCCAGGGCTGCTCGGATCTTCATGAGAGCGAGCGATGTTAGCCACTACACCATATCGGATTTGTTGTTATTGACAGGGGTTGTGCAATTGAGATATATGAACTATTGGTGAGAGATCTGATACACGTTTTTAAGATGATCTGTGGGCTCTCAATTCTTGTTGTATTGGAGGAGTCGTCTTAGATTTACTCTATAATAATCTGTTGGCAAAACTAAACGAATTTGTAACAACTCATGTTAGCTCGTCCCTCTACTGAATGTAACAACCAAGTGATGAGATCTTGCAGCTGTATTAGATCACTAACTGCCACATCCTTAGTTGAGCGCGGTGATGTATGACCACTGTTCAAGAGGGCCGCTCAGAGTCAAGAGACCGCCGCCTGGGCAGCCGAGAGTTCCGAGCAGGGCATTGGCGTTAACCTGTATAATTTTGTTTCCATGTCAGTTGGATTCCTAAGTAGCAGGGGGGTAAACGAAACATACGTTGCAGTTATCCTCGGTTTGGATGTCGTGGACAGCCTATCGTTGATACATTAGTACATCGACTTATTGAGAGCCGTTGGAAAATATAAATATATATACTTACCACCTCTAGACCGTAGAGCTTGCCGTCATCTCCCTTGATGCCGTCGGCGAGCGATGTCACGGCGGTTTGTAATCCGTCGGATGGGAAAGTAAGCTGGGAGCAAAGAGTGGCCGCCCAGTTGAGCTTGGTTTGGGAGTCGAGGTCTAAGGTAGACTGGGGAACGGTGCTGGGCTGTCCAGGGACTGGGAAGCAGATTGCTGAATCGGCCTTTGCGGAGAGCGCGAGGCAGAGGGTGGTGAAGATGGCGGTTGTTAACTGCATTGTGGAAAGGCTTGTGATGAGATTGGGCTGTACTGGAAGTCGGAAAAGAAGTGGTCAAGTTGGAAACAAATAACATATATATATATATATATATATATGTTCACAAGACTCTAATATCACAACTGGTATAAACTAAATACGATTTATTCAATTTGTCTCCGGATAGTCAGTTGCCCCGATTGGCAAGAGAGCAAGCTTCGTTATGTTTAGTATACTGTCCGGATTGGGAAGGTTACAGTAAGCTTATGTTGTTTAAGCTACAAGAATAATAAACTTTCTAGTCTTGGCGGATAGCAGAGCGTGAATTTGTTCATTATAACTCTATATTCCGACATAATTTGTCGAATAAAATCCTGTTATACCAGTTGTTTTAACGGATTGTTTTCTGAGTATTTTTGCTGCAGACCCCGCGCATTTTGAGATTGAAGCACCATATTATTGAGTTGATATTAAATTAAGCCTAAAGAAAAATATTTTACCCGCACCTCTCATAATATGCCAAACTGATATGAAAGCATAAATCACTACATCAACCGGTCATTTGTCTACGATCTGGCCATGAAAACGTACGGCCAGATATAGTTAATGCAGGGAATAATCCAAAACTCCGGGCTGGATATGCAACAGCTCTTGGCTTTCCATTTAAGGATAATTTGGCTGATGACTCCGTTAATACTAATCCAAGTTATTTTTAGATTCCTGAGTTCAGTTGTGATGGTGAACGATGATGCAACCTCGCTAATCTTGTAAACATCTTGATAGGCCCGATGGCTTGCAACGTATGCTGTATGGGAGCCACATGTGAGCCAAATGATAAGTAAGCATGCATATCGTAAGCGAGAGGTGTGGAAAAGATTATAAATATGTTAGAATTGGCATCGTGGATAATAGCCCTGACAACAATAATTGCCTAAATACATGTATACATAAGTTAATCACTGATAATTCTTCCATCTGTTCTAGCTATGTTCCTTCGATCTACAATGTGCTAGTGTTAGTGCCGCTACTTACTCATATCGCCCTACATAGGGATGAGATCGTTGATAATATTTATTTAATGAGCATTTAAAGCTTGATGTTGAAGGAATCACAATCAATGATTTATTTGATACAAGATTACGTAGGGTTGCGAGTGTTTTTTGCAATTTGGATAAACTTGTAAGATCGTATCCCGCCGGCTAGTGCTACTAGGTATACGTCCTGAATTGTTTTTGTTTCCGGCTAAAAAGATGATTGCATGTAAATATAGAATGTCATGTACAAAATTTAATGGTGAAAAAAAAATTAATGACTTTTTGTCTCAAGATTTCTACCGCCTTGACGATTTCCGGCTGTCTGCTTCTCATATTCGATATCGTAATTTCTAGCAATAGTTGATTAGTATACATTGAGGAAGCGTTAGCTGATTAAATCGAAAAGAGAAACTTGAAGAGTATATTTAATTCCTCTTTACACGCCCCCTCTTTTAATATTTCGCCCAAAACTGCTCTTTTTACACATTATACATCGCTTTATCCACTTATTACAGCTCATTTTTAACACAGCTACGTCGGATTATTCTGCCGAAAAGAGCGAATGAGGTTATAATTGCAGCCAGTGTAGGAGCCCTCATCATCATTTTACCAAACGACGTAGATTATATGTCAATTATAAGTCCTATATCAACTGCCCAGCCTAAATTTGCGTCAGCTATGCACTTGTACATGTGATTATCTCCACCACGACTTTACGCGACTGAGAATCATTTTTGGTGTCTGTACGTATGAAGAACCGTGGCGGGCCACTTCAGCAAATGAAAGTTCCGGATTAACAGATCGTGACATTAGCTCCATGCTCCATCCATGGCCGCCATCATCTCTCATTTTGCGGCCTTTGTTTGTTGAAAAAGACGATGAATGCCTCTCTTGCGGTGCCCCCCTTTTCTGGTCATAGGTTCGTTTCCCATAACCCATTGCACTGTATCTGTTTCGACCAGATGCTTGTACGCGGTATGGCCGCTCACGAGACGTCTCTTTTAGCGAAGAAGTTATGACATATTTAACATGCTCCAAGTTCTTGCCAAAATGCTCCAGCTTATACAATTTTTTCACCAGAGCGTCAACTCCTTGTTCGTCAAGAAGCATATCGTCTGGACAAGTGGGCTCACTCATATTCTGCTGGAACGTCTCAACTAGCTGGAGGTGGATCCGCCTGTCCTCGTGCAATGCCTCCAGGCGTTTCGTGTTTGTAAGGAAACCTCTCTCTCTTGCGGCTTCAACAGCAACCTTTTCATCTTGGATGAGAATGTCTAGATATTCCAATGTAGCGTCATTAATGTACGTGATGGAATTCTTTTTCAAAAAAAGACAAAATCGAGCTGCAGCGCGTCGAACCTCGTCGAGCTCTTGCTTATACTCTTCAATATTTTGATCGAGCCTAGTGATGGTTGTTTGCCGTAGCGTTACATCGTCTGCGTTGGCCTTCAACTGCCTTTCGATTTCAGTGTCCGTGACTTGAACTTTGGTCTCTGATAACTCGAAAAGAATATGTAAATGCTCTTGCCATCGGTGGTGACAATGACGGCAAACATTTGCGCCACCAAAAGCCGTGCAGCGAATAAGGCCTGGATCGGCGACCACATCTTCCTTGACATTTCGCAGAGAGCAGATGCGGTGGCAGTGCGTCTTATAAATGGTGACAACCGCCCCATCCCCAACACCGCTATCTTTGAAGTCACAACAATAAATATTTTTGCAAACTGTGCGAGGCCTGTCTAGCTTTTTAGCTAAGAATTGAATCTTTTCAAAGCGAAGCCTCTTACGAAGATTCGCTGCTGTCAATCTTGTGTCTTTCAACTCCATCTTCTGATTTTCGGCTAGCTTGATGCTTTTTCTGATACATTCCGCAATGTTCGCCATGGGTTTTGTCAATTCCAATATTAGCTTCCGCGCTCCGTTAAGGCTCAGGGTGCTGACAACAGAATGAGGTGATGTTGATGCGAAGTAGTGGAGAAGTCTATACGCCTCTTTTCTTGAGTGATCCCAACTTCTGCGGAACTCTTCTTCATTAGATACTGGTACTTTCTGTCTATACGCCGCGAGGTAGCGAAAGCTTTCAGAGTCAAAACAGTATGTAGTTGAAGTGGAGAGCGTAATAGGAATGTCCAAATGCTCATCAAGCAGTGACTTGAGTGGTTTAAACGTATCCCCAGGTGCGTAGTTGGAGATGCGCGTATTAGTGAAACCGAAGGCCATAATATTGGCTGCACTGCGGTGTATATGGGTGAGCAATTCCTTAACACAATATCTAAAAGTAACGGTAAGACGAGCGTTATTAGATTTGACAAGGACCAGGATGCCATGTAGTTCATCGTAGCTGCTAATCGTGTTTAGAATATCGGCCATGTTCTCCTTATCGTAAGAGTGGCCCCTTGTATCTCCAATACCTGGAGTATCAATCAACCGGTATGTCTTTGTCCCGATTGTGACCGAATACACAGATGACTTCTGTGTTGCCGACTTTCCTGTTGAACCATCTGCCTCATCATCACGAGCGCCAACCTTGACATTGTATTCTTGAATTCCAGCAGACAAGTTTTCTCTGTCCATGTGTTGGAGAGAGAAAGAGCATGGAATCACAGATGTGAGCTCATCTGCGTCTTTGGCCTCATCTAGTGTTGAGTAAGTCAAGTAATTGACAAACGCATTGATAAATGTTGACTTTCCCACTCCAGTTTCTCCGAGAATGAGAATGTTGATAAAGTCAGACTGATCGAGTCCAGTCAACAGTTCATGAAGCTCTTTTGCATTATATTTCTCATAGGTGTTCCCGTGTTTAAGATCATTACATTTGAACTCAAATGTACTGTAGGCGCCACGGCCACATACGCAGTAGAAGAATCTATCGCTGAATCCGTATTCAATCGCGGCAAAGCATACTGGACAGACCCATTCCACAGAATTATGGCCGCATTCGGATCTAGGACAAGGTACCCTAACGATGGCTCTCTTGACTGGTCGTTCACGCTCATTAGTATCTAGAGCCGTACCATAGGACTGAGCGAAGCATTTTGAGGACAGAAATTGACGGTGATTGAGGATATCGGGAATACACTCATCCTTGCCCTTGTATTGAGAGATGCAGGGACCCGCATCAGGGCAAAAAGGATAGTCCGTTGCGTCATGATCCATAATGTACACGGGCAAGTGCTCATCTGAATGTCCCAGTAACTCTAGTAACAAAGCGCAGTTATCATTCCATTCCTTTTTTTGGTCCATTGACGCAGAATTGAAATGAAATACGTAATAGGAGGCGTCTTTATGAGATTTGTTGACCGTTTCCAGAGAAACCCCATTGTGGCCCAAATATTTTGCGCCCTGTGCAGTAAAGTTGCTAATGAATTCAAGCTTGCTAGATTCCTGTCCAACAATGGCGGACGCATGATCTACCGTAAAGTCTCCCGAAGTGGCGTGCCGATATAAGTCAAACAACATCGAGGGCCCTCCTTTCCCCTTTCGTGCCTCCTGCAAGGCGTGAAGAAGCCGATTTATAGTCCAACTTCTAAGTTCTTCTAGAGCCTTCAGAGAAGCAAAAACTTGATTCATGTGATCTTTGCTTGTGTGCATCATGTGGCTTGCCAAGTATGTGTAATAAGTTTGGAGACTAGCTGCACAAGCTCCAAAGTCATCGAATAATTGAATAAAGGCAACGAGATCGTCATTCCTGATTGGGATGAAATTACAATGAAACCCCAGTGGAGCAGATATAATATATGAGAGTGCTGTGATCGGTAGCAAGGTGTATTCTATTGGCCATCCCTTTCCGCCGTTCGCCTGTCGAATATGATCTTGCACGATCCGAATGAAGCTGCATACTTCCGATACGTCTCTCATCACGAGACCTTCTTTTTCAAGGACATCGGTATAGAGCATGAGCTCGCTGCAAACTTCCATTTCAGGTGCTGTTTCAAGTGTGAGAAAGGCAGATTCGATAGCGTATGTCAAAGTATCCAGATCTCTTTGGAAGGTAACATTTCCCTCTTCGGATTGACCAGCTTTGCTTGACATGGGACAACTTGCTGAGATAATATTCCGCAGACCCCAACTGATTCCAGTCACCACGTGAGTGCAATCGTTTTTCCCCAAAGGTGTCAAATCGCTACATGATTTGAATGCTTCAGTCATATCGTTCAGTGTCTGTTGCACTGTCGAGACATTATGAACAATAGCGGCACGAAACTCTCCACTGCTGGGCGTGAAATCACGAAGAAAAACGGCGGCGCCGTGGAGGTCCAAGTATCCGGCAAGAGTATTGACCGCAGTGTTTTCATCTATATGAAGATCTTTAAACACATCCATGTATGACGCGCATTTGGAGAGAGTGATTTCTGTGACAGAAGTTGGCTGTGTCGATACGTAGTTGGTCAGTCGGTCGGAAGATAAAATTGAGGCTTGTAGAAATTTGTCTGATTTCGCATCATAGAGGGTGCCTATTTGTGCAACACGTCTGAGGGCTTGGCAAACTTGATTTTCCATGATTAATCGTAATTTGCAACTGTCGGCCGTGAAGTGGCAAAGATGAGGATAAGAAGTCCGGCTTCTGACAGAAGGAGTTGAATTACGGTCCGTATATTATGAGAATAGAAGGTTTAAATACATGAGGATATTCCATTCAACGGGTTCATTTGCACAGCCGGCTATTAATCTCTCCCAGCTTGGCTTCGAAGATACATGTGGGAGGCCGACAAATAAACTAAAGCCACACTCTATGACTTATATATCATTCGAGAGCAGTCACACGCATATGCGTTTGAGCCCAATATATGCAGTGTAACTGCATAAATTTATGACGAAACTATTTCAATGCTAAGTACACTCATTTGTTGTTATCACCCTCCTTAGAGCCGTGATACAAAAATTCCCCGCAGCGTCGCCTTACAAACAAAGCAGAACTACGTGTATATGTATATGTATATGTATATGTATACAATGACGTTCAAAGCCAACAGATGCGACTTTCTGCATGGGGCCTGCATGCGCACATGCAACCATCGGACAGTGGGAGGCCTACACCTATTCTTGTGTAAGCTCTTAAACGGCCCGCGTGAAGCCAAATACGACAGAGACGATGTATTTCATATCCTGTCGTCTTATCTAGGCGAATAATAGTGAGTATGCACTTCCGCATGGCCAAAATCACGCCCGGTTAAAAACGGGAGGATTTCATATCTCCTTTCTTTCCCGAGTGGCCTGTTTCATGAACCACTGAGCGACTAACACGACAGTCTTTTACCCCCGCAGTACAGAATACATCGGTAAGAGGCTTCTGAGGTATGTAAACAATATCATGACGACTTCTAGAGCAGGCCCACTCGTGTATTTTATTTCACTATTGTCGGATATGACGAGTCATTGGATCGCTATGACCGGTTCCGACCCAGCGCGTATAGCACCTGTCTTGTAGCTCTGGGAAAAGCTTTTGGCTATTGACAATTTTGTAGCTGCTCCTCTCTAGTACCCATCAGTTGAAGATTCTATGTGTGCTGTAATATAAGGATAATCTATCAGAGTCATGGCTGAATATTCGCTCGAGTATCCGTCAAGATCTTGCCTACAATATCCCCATCGTCCACATCAATGACAAAGTCACGCAAGTCGTGTTGTTCCGTAATCTCCTCATCGTCATCGAGGTACACGTCTAGAACGATGCGTTTTACCTTCTCTGCCCCAGCCATCAAACTACGAGCCCCCAACTTGACGTGGTAGTGAGATTTTGCAAGTGTAGAGCATACAGTACCATCTCTTCTAATCAGCAGCCTAATGTTGCCGATAAGTCTCTCTGATGGGCCCTTGATTAGGCATATTGGGAGGCGCAGATCCTGAGCCAATCCTAACAAGCATTTATGAGTGATGACAGCTTGTTCACCAACTGTAAAAGGCAGCAAGGGAATGAAGTCTGAGATACGGCCAGTAACAGGTGCCTATATGCCTAAGTTAGCAATGTGTAGCGCATATTTAGAAGATGTAAGCAGAGGGAGCTTACACCAAATTGCTGTAGAAAGCTCTCTCGTAGCTGCTGTGAGAGTTTTCTGACTAGTCGAGTTTTCTCGTCTCCGATATTGCCGGTTATGAGATTATTCTCTTCGCAAAAGTCCAAAATAGAATTATCTAGTGCATTTGTTGCCAGTATCCATATCGTGTTTGAGCAATTAATCTTGTCACCATTACGCCTATCTTGATACTCGCCTTTTTAACATGGTTAGTTTCTTGACAACTAAAGCCAAATTCTTCTAAGCAATGGAAATTGTTACCATACCATTATCAAATGGGAGCAGTAGAGATGAATGAATTTCCGGAGTTGTCTTTTCAAATTCGTCTAGGAAGATAATGCATCTCCTCCCAGAATGTCCGACGAGAAAGTTGTTCACTGCTGAGCCCTTTTCATACCCAATATAAGGCCTCCTGGGACCAAACAATTCCATTTCATGGCTGAACGTGGTACAATCAACTACTTCCAGGTCCAAGGAGAGTAGATGGCCCAGTTGTCTTGCTAGCTCAGTCTTTCCATGACCACTCGGCCCAGCAAAGCACAAAACGAGAGGGTTTTTAGCCGGCAACATCAAATGAATGAGCAATTTTTGAATGAGCAGCTCTGTGGCGACAGATTGCCCAATAAGGAAATATGGAATGCCTAGAAGTCCCTGGCAATTTCTGAGTCTGGCAATTTGTCGCCTCTTAGTTGAGGGTGGTTTCAACTGGGTAGACTTTTCCAAGAAATATCGATGAGTGAGATTAATATTCTTGGAAAGCCTGGCTTTTGTCGTCGGGGAGCACCACGCTGCCTCTCCAGTCACCTCAGCATCTTTCTGGTCTTTCTGCCCCAAGTTCGTTGCATGATCCTTTAGATACGGCGTAAATAAATCCTTGGGAATAACGCAGGGTGAAGCTCCTTTGCTGAGGAGGACGCAAACCATGTTTGCAGTGTCAATTTGCAGTGTTTCACTGCACATGATTGCAAATGCCAACAAAGGGACGTGCGATGATTCATGTACAGCATTAGGACTCGCTTTAAGCTCGATGAGGAGCCGCGTAATATTCTCGTCATTGGATGCAACGGCATAAAACATGAGAGGAAAACCTTCAATTGTGGAGTTGATGTCTTGTTCCGTGACTGCTGGATTACAAAGATTGAGATAGCTTCGGATATGAGAAGCTGTAACGCCATGTTGAATGGCTGATGCAAGACTATACGAGTCGAAATAGTCTATCCCTTCAAGAGACATATCCAGCAGGCTTGGCAAAACAAAGTCCCATTCTCTGTCAGAGCCATTGCCATGCGCATCTTTGGTGGAGACTTGACTATCGTTATGGGACTCAGCGTTGGGAAGTATTTGGTTTGATAAGGGAGTATTTGTTTGAGAGGTTGATAAACTCCTAACTGAGAGGCTGCCGCGCCCATAGTCAAGGGAAGGGGTTAAATCTTGCGTGTATACCTGGAAAAGATCATTATGTCTCTTGGCCGCCTCGACATCATTATCGCAAATCTGAAGCGAATCATTAGTAAAAATAGAATTCAGGGATTTTGAGTGTATAAATCACGCTGAGTAAATCGATAGCTCTCTCTCTGGTGCAGCCGCATTCTTTCATCAAAATCTCAACGGGGTTGCCATCATCCGTATCTGAATTGATTTCCGTCCAATAGACCGATTGAGTATCTGACATTTTGATATTATTACTGTAAGTTTAGTGCGATGCTACTGCTGGAAAATGAAAATACCTTTAAGTCTTTAACACAAGGATTATAAGGAACTTCAAAGTTATCTACGTGTCTGCACCACAGATGATTTGTAGGCCTCCCAGCAACCATGTCTTAATAATTCTTGCGTAAAGAATGAAAGCCTAGTCTTCTATTTACTGTCACCTGCATGCATTATTAGGTAGGGTTTCCGTCGCCACAAGCATGTACACGTATCTTCCCCACTTTCTGCAGCTTTGCGACGAGGCTGTGGGAGGCCTTCAATGCAGCCGTCTATCTGAAGCCAATCACAAATCATACACGAAGGTCCATGTGGTGTCGCATCCGTAATTCAATGCGCCCAACCAACTCATTTTAAATTGCAGGGACTCTGCAGAAGACAAATGTTTTGTATTGGATAACTTCTCATCTGCTGCCATAGTCGCAGGTAATAGCTGCACCCATCCTATCGCTTACTACCTATTCACCTGTATGTATGACACCATTTCATGTCACTTCATGCCGGTGGCCTTCAAGAGCGTCTGCAATTAGGCTTTAACCCCAAACTCGAAATCAGTGCTGCCTGTTCCTCGAGTGCCTTCTCGGTGGCCTGCAGCGAGACCTGAAGTTCCTTGTTGATGGCCTGTAGTTCCTGACATTGCCTCGATACTCGTTCTCCGTTGGTTTTGTGAAATTCCAATAACCGCCCAAGTTTGCTTATTTCTTCATCGGGGGCTGGCTTCAACACTTTGATTGGTTCAAGTTGCCGTGCCTTCGTTTCCGTCGTGTTGCTTGTTGGGCCATGCTCGTTGGTTTTATCTAAGAGCTGCGTGTAGGCTTTATCTAGGATCCGCGATATCTGTTCCCCCATGCGTGCAATCTCGGCGTCCTTCTCTATTACTTTTCTTTTTTCTTCCTCGAGGAGCGTCCGAGTAGCTAGTAAATCTTGTACTAGCCGGTCGACACCGTGCAGGCTGACATCTCTGGGCTTCTGAACCCCCACCGTTTCGTAGTGAGAAAGAGGAATATTGGTTTCGTCTTCCGCATAAGCGGGAGTCTTTGCAACAGTCTCGGCGTATAGGACTGAGGGAGTCCTATGCAAATCGGGCATATCTGGCCATGTGCGCCTGGGGACCATGTCTGTCATGGTAGATCCAGCGGTAGGGCTTGAGGAACGAGGCGAAGAATCTAGCATAGACATGATGAGTATATGCAACGTTAGAATGACAGTAGAAGTCGCTTATAATATTGAAGAAGAGAAAGAAATGGAATGAAATAAGTAGAATGTCGGCCAAGGTTGCTGAATTTATATTGATTTAAGATGCTACTTTAAACCGTAATTGGACCCACCAGTCGCGCCTGCTTCCATCCTTTTCAGTGTGGTGTGCGGAGTGCTGCATACATGTAAGTTCTGCATTAATGAAGTGCTATTCATACTGATCGACTGATGTAATAGATTAGGAGGTACTCTTGAACTGGCCATGGGTTAGGCAGCTCGGCTGGGCAAAGTTATAAAGCAAGGGGCGCTGAACACTTGGACATGAACTTTGTAATATCAAAATAATCTCCATTTGTATTTACCCTTGACAAAATAATGCGATACGATCAGCTCTCTGTAGTTAAATGTTTTCTATGACAAAGAAATGCGCGTAGGATTTGAGGCGGTTCGGCGTTGCTCGTATTTGTCTACAGATGTATATAGACATTGACATGTGAGCTAAATTGAAGATTTATTGGAACGATATTACGCTATCAAGGGACCAGGTCAATTGCTTCATCTGAAGGCTAAAAGAAAACCAAGCTCTATAGAGATTTGTAGTTCCAAGATCTATAAAACACCTGCGCCTATGCTATAAGAACAGCCGAATAACTCCACTAAGAAAAATCGGGTATATTAAATGCGACAAAGTTGAAATCTCTATGCTTAGATGCATAATGATCAATTCAGCATTCGAGAGCAACGTCTTTGACGGTAACGTCGAGCACAAGGCCGGTGTCGCCAGTAACCTGGATTTTGCCGCTATGAAAACAATGAATATTAGCACGACAATCAGAGACAACATTAATAATGGTGCAACTCACCCCTTGGAAGTGCCATCGTTTCGGTCGCACTCGTCTAGGATGCTCTGTACGGCAAAACGCAGGTCATTCTGGTCAATGTGTGTGTTTTGCCATGAGTACGTGTTCGCAAGACAAGCTCTGGCGCTACCCATGCTGAAGCTGGCGGTATGTGAAGCCTCGATGAGGAACGGAAACTCCAGCTGAGGGTCGAACTTGTTACCGGCAATCTCGTTCTGCAGTTTTCTCCCATCGGCGACAGAGAAGCTGGGAATGGAGGCGTCGTCGTGCGAGTAGCAGTCAGCGGCCGCAGAGCCCAGAGTGAAGAGGGAGAAGAAAGCAACAGCTCCCTGGGCATAGACTGAAGAGCGCATCTTGGCTTATGTAATTATCAAGTCGTTGAAATGATCAGAAATAGTCTTGATAGTTGTGTGTTGAGACTCAGTTTGCCAAGCTGCTGTGGTTGGTGGTCATTGGAAGGGATCTACATTGTGTTGGGCTCGAGTACCTTTATACTACTCGATGGCCATAGCCACTATTCACGCCTGTGAGATTATAGCGATAATCTAGTTCTACTACTATGCACCATCGCCTAGAGCACTTTGGTTCGTGCCCGGCTATTCTTGGACGAGCTTTATTAATTCTCAGTGGTCAAGAAAGCCTCGAGCTAGATCCGTCTGACTCCAAAAATAGCACGGAGGGCGAAGCTGCCGCATTATTTCGGGCCAGGCTAACCGGCAACGCTCTAGACTGCACTGCTGCCCAATTAGTAACGCAGGCTATTTCTAGTGACAGCATCTAGAACAGGGCCAGCGCAGAACAATCAATGTATAAGCCAAATAGCGTCTGTCTTGTTGAGTTGGACGGAGAGTCTGACGTAAGACCCCAAAACTTACGGCTAATGTTTCTGCTACGGCACTAAGGAGAGGTTCCTGGCTTGTTTACTTCAACTTAGTGCCCATACTGGCCTCTCTATATAAGTGTGTAAACGGACATTGGCGATTAATAATCTTTCCGCCTTGACGGGGTAATTGAGGAATGGGTAGCCTATTTGTTGTATAAGGTACGGGGTACAGCACACACTAGCTTATTGTCTCGGTGTAAGGGTTACGTTAATCACATGAATGGTAGAAGAGTTCGAAACAATCTTGTTTGAGAGTAGTTATAAGTCTTGCATCCCGCATCTAACGATGGATCTTTGTAGCCACAATCTAGATAACCGATGCTAGCGCTATCTTTAACAATTAAACTTCGATAAACACAAAGCTTTCAAAATACTCCTGGGTAAGTAAATGTCAAGTATTATGAAATGTGTTTTAGGCTCCCTGGGCCGAGAAAATACCACGTAACAGCAACAGAGCCGAGGATGTCGCCACACTACTACTCCAACTGCTACCCCAGCAACAAGGTGTTAGCATTATAAGTATGAAGTTAAAGGCAGTTTAAGATACTGCAGTCAAGCTTTTCAGACTTCTTCCTCTCAGAACATTCCAGACAAATTATCCGCATTAAACAACAGCCGCTTACTACGGATATTGTTGAAGCCATTTCAATAGCTCTTACTATGGTTCTTTGGACGCCATAACGCCCCGGAAAAATAATATACGCCCCAGAAGACTTAACCATCATGAAGGTCATCATTATTGGGGCTGGTCTTGGTGGCCTTACCGCCGCTTACGCTTTGGCTAGAAGCGGACACAACGTGGAAGTCGTTGAGCGTAGCTCCAAGCTAAACCCTACCGGAGGCGGCATCAGCATCAGACCGAGCGCAAGCAAGGTCATTCAAAGCTGGGGTCTTCAGCAGACCTTGGAGCAAATCAGTGATAGATCGCCATATGTGAGCTATCGCGAACTCAATACAGGAGAGGTTCGAACCACCGTCGTCGACGCCCCTCAACATGCCGACTGGGGGACCACCAGACGGGCCATGGTCAAGCTGCTTTACAAGTATGCAACCGATGCTGGAGCGCGCGTTCGCTTCGGCGCGGCCGTGGCTCAAGTTTCTGACGATGCGACGCGTGCTTCTGTGACGCTGGAAGGCGGAGAGCAAATGTCAGCCGATCTCATCGTGGCAGCGGATGGCATCAAATCACACACTCGCCGAAGCGTGCTATCAGATCTTGGCCCCCACGAGCAATGGGAGCCCATCGTCGACCACACCACATTCTACGGCTTCAGCGTGGCGGCAACAGATTTGGCCAGCGACCCAAGCTCGACGAAGCTGACGGAAAACACAAATATCAACACGTGGAAGGGCGAGGGCGGCTTTGTGGTGACTCGATACAGCTCCAAGTTCAACCGCGTTGGGCTCCTGTTCGCCATCCAGGGAGAAACCGACCAGAAGGGCCTCTGGGACGAGAACGGCGATATCGAGCATGTGCGGCGATTCTTTGCCTCGTCATGCAGCGACATGATTAAGGCACTGAAACTCGCCGACGCCTGCGATCGCTGGAGAGTTGCTGAGGTGCCGAACCTCCCTCGATGGTCAAGCCAGGCTGGGCGAGTTGTGCTGTTGGGCGATGCCGCTCACGCAATGCATCCCAACGCCGCCCAGGGGTACTCAACCATCATCGAGGATATCGGAGTTTTGCAGCTCCTCTTGTCTGGATCTGCAGAAGCCACCGTGCCGGAGATTGTGAATGTCTGGCAGGCGATTTGCAAGCCCAGAGCAGAACGAGTCAAGGAGTTCTCGCGATGGAATACCAAGCATCTTTCTGGAAGAACTGCGAGTGCCATTGGTGTTTCTCACGCAGACAGCGTGCTTGATGGCATTGTGCCAGATGGAAATGCAGAGTTCAGCAGCTTGGAATTCTGGAAGTGGAATGTCGAGTATGATGCTATTGCTGAGGTATGTTTGTTCCATGCATTAATCTACCTATTTCTCCTCATTCAACTGAATACTACTAATACGAAACTCATGTTAGGCGAAGAAATATCTTGAAAAGAATAAGAGCCTCTCGAAATTATAAATATGAGATATGACGCATCAGTTCTTTTGGCTTATAAGAGGCACATTGAGTACATGTACAGTTGAGATCATGTAGGTTAGCACCTTGTATGGCAAATGTGTATATATGTGTGTCTGATGTATCTGAGAACCAAAATGAGATAACGCCCAACACCAATTTATATACAAAAAAAGATGTAGAGAAATTTACTTTCTTCTTTTAAGATAAAATTTTTACCTTGCCCAACTTTGAACATCAGATATAAAAACATCAACACTCCTTTACCTAAAGAATATAGTTTAGGTATTGGTGAGATTAAGACTGAATTAGATGTATATGCACTAGCGTACTCGGTAGAATGTCGGTGCAATTGGTAAACAGCTAGTGCCTGTGTGGCGCTGCAACTAGCGATTGTGTGGCGCACGGCTATAGCGCTTCTCTGCCCTGAATTTTGTCGAGCCCGCAACGTGATCCTTGTCAATGTAAGATATCGCGTGGACGACTGCTCTCGTACGCGGCTTACAATGTGCGGCATCCATGCTGCCATATCAGTAGATGCAAACTATCACAAACTATCCCCAGGACTCGAACAAAGGCTTCGGAACCGCGGCCCTGACCATCTTGGGGCTGTGAAGACGCAGCTCCGTCGAGATGATGCGAGCTCCCTCTACCTGACTCTGACCTCTACGGTTCTATCCCTGCGCGGAGACCACGTTGCGAGGCAGCCGCTGGTTGACGAGGAGTCCGGATCCGTCCTCTGCTGGAATGGCGAAGCCTGGAAGCTTGGTGGCAAACCCGTCGAGGGTAATGACGGCGAAGCCATCCTGTCCATGTTGATAGCTGCGAGCAGCAACAACTCAGGCGACAAGGACAGTATCCTTGACGCGCTGCGATCTATTGAGGGCCCATTTGCATTCATTTTCCTGGATAAGAAAGCGAAACGCCTGTACTATGGACGCGATCGCCTTGGGCGTCGATCCTTGCTGTTGAAGAGAGAAGAAGACTTTCTTCTCTCGAGCATAGCAGAAGCACCCGCTGTGGGATGGGCCGAAGTCGAAGCAGACGGCTGTTATGCCATTGAGCTTAGTGAAACTGGCTTACCGAAAGATATGATGCCTGTGAGACATGACTGGGATCAGACTGAAGCTTTAGTAAGTTCTTTAGAAGTGCTCTCGCAAGTTACTTGGGTACTGCAGAGTATAAGGTACCAACCGAAATTCGTGCTACTTACGTTTTTAGGTGTCAAGTATTGGCGTATTTAACGCTTCCATTCCTACGGCAGCGACTACTCCGTTAAGTGGCCAGTCTCTCTCTGTAGAGCAATTGCGAGACCATTTGGCGGAGTCGCTCCGACTAAGAGTTCTGAGTGTTCCATTACCCCCAATGGCGGGACCTTCGGACGCGCGAGTTGCCGTACTATTTTCAGGAGGCCTAGATTGCACAGTTCTTGCTCGAATTGCCAGCGATATAATCCCAACCGGGCAAGCTATTGACTTGATTAATGTTGCATTTGAGAACCCTAGAATCGCTTCGCAAAACAAAACTTTATCCGCTGCCGAGCTATATGAGCTATGCCCTGACAGAATGACTGGAAGAAAGTCGTTTGCGGAGTTGTTGGCGGTCTGCCTAGACAGACCGTGGCGATTTGTAACTGTAAGGATTCCAATACATGGGTTGAGAAACAAGGCATTAATCGAAGTGTTTTAGGTGAATGTTCCCTATGAGGAGACTTCTGCCCATCGAGCAGAGTTGATAGATCTCATATACCCCCACAACACTGAGATGGATCTCTCTATTGCTTGTGCTTTGTACTTTGCTGCACGAGGCAAAGGGATGGGGCAGTTGGCCGCAGGATCAGAGGCAGAGCCATATAGCACAACAGCTCGAGTGTTGCTATCGGGGCTTGGTGCCGATGAATTATTTGGCGGATATGTCCGACATGCTACTGCTTTTACACGAAGCGGATATACGGGCCTTATAGACGAATTAAAACTGGATGTGAGTCGGCTAGGTAAGAGAAACCTAGGGCGAGACGACAGAGTCATGTCTCATTGGAGTAGAGAGGTGCGGTTTCCATACTTGGATGAAAGCCTTGTGAAATGGGCGATCGAGCTACCTGCATGGGAGAAGTGTGACTTTGATCACCAGAGCTCGAGCTGTGATTTTGATCCAGAGAAAAGGGTGCTTCGTCTCTTGGCAGATTCACTAGGCATGCGCTCTGTGGCTGCGGAGAAGAAACGAGCGGTAAGTGACGACTCAATGGAGTAACATAAAAGCTGCAGATTCTTTCTAACAGTCTCTTGTTTTTTAGATTCAATTTGGAGCGCGAACTGCCAAAATGGAGAGTGGCAAAGTCAAGGGCACCACGCTGCTCCTCCCATGAAGTGAAGCAAGCGGGATTCCGCATGTACATGTAGATAGCTATGCTGATCTAAAGCGAGGCATGACGCATTTCTGAGGAGGACAAAGGCAATCTCGGCGGTGATGATACAACAGATACTTCCGAGCTATCACGACCACAGACGGCATCAACGGAACGGCTGTGTGTTTGCTGCTTTGCAGCTAACCCTTTCGTCGAGATGCCTGTCTGTTCATCTTTACAAAGTGTCGGTAGCAGTGACGTCGTAAAAGGCAAGTCTGAGTCGAGATGTCTCACCCCTTTTCTATTTGGGAGCCTGGCGGGGGCCGACTCACCCTAGATCTAGTTTCTCGAAAGTAAAATGAATAAAAATCGGTGAAGACTATCAAGTGCGTATTCAAGTGCGTATTCTCTTGTTGGCTAGTGGTTATTGGTTGTAACGGGAGCCTTCCATCATTATCTAGCCTGCACTTGCATTACTTGAGATGAGCTCCAGAGCACAACAGTAACGCTCCCAGTATACTTACAGCCACCAATATCTTTCGGCACTGAGATGAAACGGATTTGGACTCTATCTGCGAGCCCCGCGTGGAAAGATCAGATGCCGGGTTTTGACGTATGGCAGGGGAGACGGGAGCCCCCTAATCGGATATGCGGGACCGGCAATAGCGCACGTTAGACAGGGGGGCTTGAAAGAATCAAGGGTTGTAACGCAGAAGCTGAATACGAAGCGAGGGGAGAGAGTCGATCGAAATATTCCGTAGCGATAGAATGTTGGCGTGAGTTGAGTCTAGGACAATTTCTTCTTCTTCTTCTTCTTCTTTTTTTCCCCCTTCCACGGTATCATCCGTATTACATACCAGCCATAACCAGATGCCGAGATCCCCATGTCACTACGTACGTAGTTCGGAGTAAGCAGAGACAATGCTTGTGTGGAGCTCTATTAAAGCTGTGCGTGCTTCATAAGGATATGCATGTAAAAAAGATCTTTCTAGACGTCATCTATTACGGCTATGTCAAATGCCGTAGTAATGATCAGCATTTCGGTTCATCGGAGGGGCCAAGTTTCATGTTTGCCGGTCGTGATATAAACAGAGTCTGTGCGAAGAGGGGAAAATCCTAGTCATGACAGCTATGGGTATGCGTATGATAACTCGTATGACACGAAGAAATTGATGAAAGAGATTGCGTATACTTCGTGAATGTACGTGTATGTAATGCGGAGTTTGTATAGATTCTGTTGTCTTGATAAGCTATACTATTTTGCTCTGTGCTAATAATAATATGTCTTGGGTCTAGATATTTCTCCGGGTGCGGTGAAGTGAAAGGATGCCCCCTCCTCGGCCTGGTAGCAGGGGAGAATAGCCTTGTTCTTCTTACCTTGTTCCTTTTATTCTTTCTAGGTTCCTTTTCTTATAGCGTCTAGCTTGCGTTAACCGTTTTAATGTCAACCAACCACTAACCTAAGCCTGGTTTATCCACGCACGGATCCACCTGTCTGATATTAGCTTGATTGTCTAAACGTCTCGACAACTGAGACACAACTAACTATTGTGTGTTTTAAGACATAGCTAATATGCCAACTGCTCACAGTAGATGGTACACTAGTAGTTTAATAACACTTGAGCTTTTCAGCAGCGGTCTAGCAGCTTTTCTCCTTGCTGGTGTAGACGCCAAGTGCGGATACGGAGGCAAAGCCTATCACATCTCAGTATTCCGCGAGATTGCTATTTGAAGGGAGGAAAAAAGCCACTGTGGATACGTAGGAGCCGAGAAGGGGCCCTGACTGCCGAGCCTCTTTCAGGTAATCTTATATTCTGCGGAATTAACCAGCATTGCCGGCTGATAGTAGGACAAGTATAGTTCGCATCCACTTTGACCATCATCATTTACACAATGCACCATATCATATACAGAATGCTGGTAAGAGATGGACTACAAGAGGAAATAGACCATCACTCAGTGTACACATACCCCATCTCGAACAATATACCCAGATAGTCTGAATTTATTAACAAAAACAACGGCTCTCTTTTGTCCACCCACTCGGTGACTCCGTACATATCACAAAATGACATGCATCGACACGACTCCTTGCTGCTTCCCTCCACCTCTCCCGGACTGCGACTCCGGGGCTCCAGACAACTGAACCATAGCAAAGCCAGGATCATGCCATGCCAAAGCGGTCCAAGCATCCATGACCCTGTTAGCCGTTGGCTGAAGCCTGAGAGTACTAGTTCTCCAGGCAGTTACACTGTAGAGGCACTAGCAATCGCAATAGGAACTCTGCATTTGAGGCTGTGAAGAGAAGACGGAATGATTCGTTTACCATCATTTGGACAGGGGTAGAAAGGAGTCAAGCAGATTGAGAGAGAAACGAAATAGGAGCCATCATTGTGTTCTTCTTTGCAATGTATATATAAATCACTGTTGATCTTGCCTTCTTCTCATTCCCTTTCCCTCCTCACCCCTCACCTCTCATTCCTCAACTCCTCCAGAAGCCTTTGGTTTCAGTCACTCCTTTACACCACTCACTCACCCACCAGTCACTCATTCGTTAATCAAACACACACCTAATATTCAAAATGCGTTTCTTCGCTACCGCCACCTCCTTGGCCTCCGTGGCCACCGCCGCCAGCATCTCCGCCGGCGCCTGCGCTTCCGCCACCGCCAACCTCCAGCTCGGAAACCAGATCATCGCCGAGGCCTCGACCGACATCAGCGCCGCCGTCAGCCTCGCCGGCGGCTTCCACTGCCCCAAGGGCATGGCCTACAGCCCCTGGGTCAAGGCCTGCGAGTGCCCTCCCGGCCTGAGCTACGACACTACCAGCAAGTCCTGCGGTGGCACCCCCCTCACCGGCGCGTGGCCAGCCCCCCAGTGCGATACCTCCGGCGCCAAAGTTGCCCTCTCCGCCTTCTGCGCCGTCTCGCCCACCAAGTTCACCAAATACGATGCCACCCACGCGTGGTGCCAGGTCGCGCTCGACACCTTCACCTTCTGCGCCGAGGCCGAGATCGAGGCCGAGATCTCCGCCCTCGGGCTCGGCATCGACCTGGACGTCGACCTTGACATCTCCCTGACGTCCTCCATCAGCACCGTCCTCCGCGGCACCTCTGCCGGCCTCGCCGCTCTGTACATCGAGGAGCTCGCCCAGGCCGTCGTCATCTTCAACACCAACGCTTTCGGCTTCGCCGTCGTCGCTGCTGACGTCGAGGTGTCGCTGACCACCAGCATCTTCGCCCAGCTCTCGGCCACCGCCTGCCTGCTCGGCGTCGGAAAGTGCCAGTTCGACTGCGTTTCCTACAACACCATGGGCTGCCACAACTACATCGACGTCGTCGGTGCTCTCGGTGGCCGTCTTGCCGGCTTCGTCGGCGTTACTATCCTTCCTGATGTTATCCTTAGCCTCAGCTCTACCAAGGTTTACACCAACCTTGTTGTTAAGGATCTTCTGTGCGCCAGCCTTAAGCTCGATACTCCTCTCATCTCTCAGTACAAGTACACTTGCTAAATTGGAGCTGTATACATGTAATGGGATGGGGGTATAAGTGTCTTTCGTGTTGGGTTCGCGGTGGTAGATGGGGTTGTGTTTGGAGAGCAGGGTAGAGTCTTTTTTTGTGCATAAAAGAGCGAGGTGTTGGTTGAGTAAAAGGGAGAGGTGTTGGATTCACGTCAATACGTCGGTAATGAGTGAAGCGTTCTCATTTTAGAGTTTAGAGATAATTGGTAATATAATATATAAATAGGTAGAATTAATAGAACTGTTGTTGTGGTTCGGAAACATATCGCTCTTGCTTGATAACTGATAACTCGTCGCTGTAGTGTTACAGACTGCGAAACATCACCCATAGAAACACTCAAAATCCCATAAGAAACCCCGCCAATTCAAGCACTTACAGGAATCGCTATTTGCTTGCCAAATTTGTCCACCCCAAAATGGCTAAATGCCTCCTCATCATTGTCGTCCAACAAAAATGCTCGATCTTCATCTTCTGGAGAAAGTTTTGCATACAGGCCTTCGCCGGCCTTTGGCCACATTGGCGGGAGAGAATCACCATCGTCCATTACTGGTGATTCTTCAGCTTGTATAACTGGCGCTATCTTGACCATCTTTTTAGAAATCTTGTGCTTGTTCTTGGTTCTTGATTCTAGAATGGTATGTCCATGCCGTGGCCGTGTAGCAGACCGGGCACTTTGGTGTGAGTGTTTTATCCTATGAGCTGTGACAGTGCTGAATGTTTCCGCATTCCAGTTTGGAGAGTCGAAGATTGGTAGGTCGGGATGTCTCTTTGCAACAGAAACCATGATGTCAACCAGCAACTGTGGTTTGAGCTGATCGCAGAATGATAAAATATTTAATAAATCTGTCTTCTTCTTCCCATAAAAGTACTCCGTTAACTGTAGATGCTGAGTTAGCTTTGGTTCTTTTTGAGTCCCTGATCAGTTCTGCTTACCGCCGTATCCGATGCCTTTCCTGCCCAAAAACCAACATGCTCTGGTTTGGCCGGAACGGCATCTCCATTTAGAGCCGCCAAATTCCTGGATCGCCGTCTTTCTAATTCATTCTGATGATGAGAGCCTTCTCTTGTATGATCCATCGCATCTCTTTCATTCGCACCCAAGCATGATGGGCACGTAAACCTTAATAGTTGCTGTGCCTCCTCCTCTTTTATTATCGATGGCGGCACACAGCCTTGGTGCCATAATTGAGAACAATTACCGCAAGGAATGAGTGGATTATTCGCTTCCAATGAGTCTTGATGACACTTGGAGCACATCATATAGCTGCTTTGCGGCGTGATACTCAGCGTCGCTGTTGTGGATAGTACTACCGCCGGCTGTGGAGCAGGCATAGGAAGTGACATTGTATTCTGGGTGAAATCATCCGTCTCACCCTGTTGTTCTCGCTTTCTCTTCAATCCTATTAGACGAGAGTTTGCCGCCATGATATTCTCAACGTTGTTGAATGGCTGGCGGGTTGGCGAAATGGGCATTGGTAGCGTGTCACTCATGCTTGAATCCCGCTTCTCATCCATCTCACTCTTTTCTCCATCTGTAGTGTGAGAGGCATTGTTCATTATAAGTGACAAATTCGAACTTGGACGTCCCTGAGTAGACTTTATACGATCCAAGATCCATGAAGCCGATGAAAACTGAGGTGTATATGGAGGTCGTGGTATCGATGCCGGCGGACATGAATTCTCCATACTGAGGCTGATACCAGGAGATAATTGGATATTTGTTGCATCAGGTGAATCTCCCATGATGGTATCCTCATTATTCGATTCAATTGGAGCAATAGCCGGTAATGTCGCCTCCATTTTGCTCCACAGTCTGGTGTTATTCGCGTGACAGGAATGGCTTATTGCGTATGAGCCAAGATGCCTTTTTTTATGACATTACACCTACAAGGGAGAGGAATTGAGGAGTTGCGTGCCCGCACGTGGAATAAACAAATTATAGAAATTAAAAGAAATCTCCCCAATGATTTTTTAAAACATGATTTCGCGATAATTCATTTTTGATCTTACGATGGAGACTGAGAAGGAACCATTTTCGGAAAGCGCGAGACAGGAAAGAACGGACAGCGAATCATGTGATGGATCACATGATGCAGCAGAAGTCCTCAACATGTACGGTGTCTCATCCAACTATACACTGTCCTATTCCCCTGACAGTTCACCAACTCTATAGATATTCACTCCTGTGCCCGCGTATATATTTATCTATATCATGTCATCATTTCCTCATCATCTATATGTCTAGTATAGTATATGGTGCTAATGGTAACAGTCATGCATCTAACTCACGACTCCCTGGTTTTTAAGCGTAGTAATATCTGATTCACTTAGGCCGAGATGCTCGCCCAAGATCTCATTCGTGTGCTGGCCCAAGATAGGAGGAGGCGTCCTCACAATGGGCTGAGTTTCTGACCACTTGACGGGCGTGTTAACCATCTTGATCGGGCCACAGTATTCGTGGTCAATCTCGATAACCATGTCTCGGGCCTTGGTGTGGCTGTGATTGAGAGTGCCCTGGATATCGTTGATGGCCGCATAAGGCATCCCTGATCCCTCAAATGTCTCTAGCCACTCCTGCGTTGTTCTTTGTTGTGTAATGGCCTCTATTTCCGCCTCTAGTTCATTACGGTGCGCCACTCGGTCAGCGTTTGTCTTGAACTTGGCATCGTCCTTCCAGTGCGGCTTGTTAAGGCCATCACAGAGAACACCAAACAAGCGGTCATTGCCGCCACCAATGAGAATGTCACCGTCCTTCGTCTTGAACGCTCTGTATGGAACGATTGACGCTGTAGAGCTTTAGTATAACTTGCAACAGGCGTCTGGTATATATGCATCTGACTTACGATGAGCAGTTCCCCAGCGACCACTGTCCTTCTTCCCGCTGATCAGGCTGCTGCTTGCAATGTTGGCTAATGTAGCTGTCTGGCAGTCACTCAGCGCCACGTCGATGTGTTGGCCCTTTCCAGTCTTAGCTCTCGACAAAAGCGCCGCCATAATACTATTGCTAGCGTAAAGGCCAGTTGTCAGGTCGGTAACAGCTACGCCGACTTTAACGGGCGGGCCATCTCGCGAGCCTGTAATGTGCATGAGGCCGAACTCAGCCTCGACCATCACGTCGTAGCCAGCGCGGTTGGAGTAAGGACCAGTCTGGCCGTAGCCCGTAATAGAAGTGTAGATGAGCCCGGGATTGACCTTTCGAAGGGTCTCATAGTCCATTGAATACTTCTTCAATGTGCCTGGGAGATAGTTTTCGACCAGGATGTCGCATTTCGCCGCCAGCTTGTGCAGGATATCCACTCCTTCCGGGTGTTGGAAAGATAGTCCTAGAGACTTTTTGTTGCGATTGGCCTAAAAATAAAGACGCAAACAAGTATCATATTAGCCCCCTCGATCACCGTAACAAGCAACTTTCTCCAATTTTATGTGTCTATGTTGGTTGGTTCATACCCCCAAGAAATATGCGGATTCACCCGGGCCTTGTCTTCCAGAATCTGGTTTGTACTTTGCGTACGGGGGGCCCCATGCCCGTGTGTCATCTCCCCGCGTTGGGTGCTCGATTTTAATGACTTCAGCGCTGCAGAAGAGTTTTTGACAAATCAATATGCCAATCTTGTCTAGATATAGAAGTTGAGATTGCTGAGAAAATGATGCTTACCCAAGGTCACCCAGAATTTGTGTGCAGTATGGCTGCAGCAAGTTAGCGGAGTGATAGGCATAAGGCCTGGAACATGCATCTATTTATATCCGGCTATACATAATGCAGGAGAGATTAACTTACACCAGCCAGCACTCTAGACATGTCCAGCACGCGATAACCCTCAAGAGGTAAAGGTCCGTTGTTGGCTGCAGCCGCAGAGTAGCGGCGCATGCCACGTGCGGTGGCATTGGCCCATTGAATGCGAGATTTGGAGTGAGCCAATCTGCCGAGGCTCGAAATAGCCGTGCCCCGAATCTGGGACATTGTTGCGGTATTGATAGTGCGTGTTGGTGACGTCTTGTATCATGGAAAGAAGCAGAGAAGAAGGAAAGTGTAAAGAGAAGAAGCAGACCAACTACCGGGCAGCAAAGAACATGCGTTGACCATGCGGTGCCACTTCGCGATGGATCGTGAATCTCCAGCTCTGAGTGGTTGATGGCGGAGTTGTTGCTAACGTGGAAATGTCCCGATACTGCTGTTTTGAGCGAAGCCCCATGGGGTCGGTTGGATTCGGCTCACAATAGTGGGCAAATATGGTTAGTGCGCTTGTGGTGCTAGAAGCAAACTCGAGACAATAGCATCATGTGCGTTCTCGTCTGAACCAACTACTACAGCATTGCTCTGCAAACATATATTTCGTACCTTCTACAAGTACCGTATAACAAACAATCATTGCATGGATAGAAAATAGGAAGTAGAATTCGCTTTCCTCTTGATACTATTACGTGTGATGGGCGCTGCTAGCGTTCAATGGCCCTCGCAGGGCTTGGTGGCGATCAGCCGCAAACTGCCCATGTCGTACAGGCAGATTGTTGGCTGACCTAAGAACTATCACAATACGCATTACTCTTTAATACGTGATATTTTAGAGATCTAGGGCTTCCGCTGAAGGCTTCCGCCTCTTTTTACAAGCGAACGCAGTCCACTAGGGAAGCACAGTCTCATCGCGTACAGTACTACCTAGTAGGCATGAGCTGTGTTGCATAGACTCAATTACAATCTCGCCGTGCTACTAATCGCAGCCTAACCAATAATTGAATAACGTCGTCGCCAAGTTAGGAAGCTTTCTTCCTGATACGAGGTACTTCGTACAACGCATTGTTTACATTGTATTTGCCTATTTTCATTCCATTTCCCGTGCATATGCAAGGCTGAATGGATGCCAAGTTGACAATTGTTTGTTCTTCTATAAACACCATCGCTTCACCAACACCGCTCCTAAATTTGGGCATCGCCGGCAACTGAATCAAGAATATGCGAACCTCTGGCATTTGCATCGCGGCTTAGCTCGCAGCACGGCAATCCGCGTTGCATCCGGCGTTGCTGATGTGACCCCGACGCCAATCCTGGCCTAAGCCAAACCGGACAAACCTTCGCACACGCTGCTCGTCCGGCTATTCTAGTGCCTGATTCCTAACAGGGCATGGCGATAGTCCCCGGCCGCAGCGCTTACTGCAAATGCTACCGTGCTGGAGGAGCGCCATACTCAGTGAAGAAGGCCTTGGGCTGCGTGCTGCTCAGCAACTCGCGGGTCTCCACCCAGGCTGTGGGTGATGAAGATGTGCGCAAGCCTGTCAGAGGTCGTATCCGCCCCCCCTCTCAACGGCGTGGGTGTCCCCTGCACGCTTTTTGCCTTTTGGTAGCCGTTTCTATTAATATTGCGCGCTGTTGCTCTGCCAATATCACCATGGTCGCAAAGTGGGCTTAGCCCACCGTTGGAGTGACGCAAAGGCCCATTCTGTTACTTCAAAACTGGAGAGCGTCCGCGGTCGTCTTCCAAATATGAACTCTGCCAGAAACAAAAACGGGAAGCAGGCTCTCCAGCAGAGGACAATCACGACTCATTCGGGGCTGTGTAGCTGCTGGTAAGGCCCCCAGGGTGAGCTGCCGATCTGAACATCACCGTCATGCTTGGGTGTTTGAACGCCATGAGGCTGCGGGTTTGATTGACTGAATGTGGCTCATTCGGATTGCGCTACCATTACACGACACGAAACCGACCCGTTTTTCGATAATCTCTTATACATATACAGCGTTCCGATAGTTTCACGATTTTTTCTGCTCCTTTTTATGAATTTGCCTCTATCATCACATTGTCATATATCCAGTGTCCAATCTTGCACATTTGGGTAGCACAACTGGCCATCGCCATGGAACGGATTATGAGACTCTCACGCCGTGAGTTGTCGCAGACAACCACAACATACATCATTATTGGTGTCGTCGTTGGTGTAACATGTACCGCCGCAGTCATCGCCATTCTCATATTCACGCGTCGGAGGGGACAAAAGTACAGCCAGCTGAGGAAGAACAGCCAGCTAAGGAAGAGGAGATCCAGCACCATTGATCGAGAGTCTTATAGGAAAAGCATGATGTCGACGTTTTCAGAGGTGGACGACGCTCAGAGGCAGGCCATGATTAGGAAATCGCTTGCGACTCGAAGCTCCACCATGGATTTGAACGTCGACGCTGTGTCAATACGGACAACTACCACGCATCCACTCGAAGCACAGGCCGCACAAACCGATATTCAGTCACCACAACCTCAGCTACCACTGCCCCCTCCATCGCGAGATGAAGAGTCGTCGATTGGCCTCAAGGAGGACTGGAAAGAATGGGAAGCGAGGCTCAACGAAAACTATTCCCCATCACTCGGCCTTCATCCAGCGCTCAGTCCTCGCCCAGCACTTGACTCTCATCCAGTATTTGGGCCCCATCCAGCACTGGGTCCCCGTCCAGCGATATCTCACTCGCGCCAGAGCTCGAATAGCTCGACTGCATCTGCTGGCGCATATCTCTTAGACGCAAGCCCACCATCTCAATGCCATCTTGGCCTTTCCACAAATGAGCTCGACCGGCGCTCATTGCCTCCGATGACTAGGCCGCATTCCATTGTTTCCGTTAAATCCAACCGATCACTGCCGTCAAACTACGAAGTTGAACATGATCCGCGCACCCTCCATCAATCGCAACAATCGCGAACTCGTTAATAACAGTCGCCATCAAGTCATAGAAAGATAACGAAATATTTTGTTTTGCACGCAATTCCACTCTTTGGTGGATTTCTATGCTTAAGAAATGCTACTCTGTCTCTGCCCGGCAGAGCACCTAGTTTCCAATCTCATTGGTAACATCGACAAACGCTTGCCACTGTCTCCAGGCCTCACCACTAGTGATAGCCCACTTAGCTCTTCGAACACCTTCCTTCCAACGTTGGCCTCCCGGGCCACGTTCTTTGATGACATTTCCATCATCGCCATGGCCCATGTCACTGGTATCCGCCTCGCAGATACCAGATGCGACAAGAAGGGCTGCAGTATTGATCAAAACGAACTCGACGACCGGATCATCCAGGGGAAGTTCGCCTTTCAAGATGCGAACGAGAATATCCGCATTTTCTTGAGGCTCCTTTCCGGAGGACACCTCGTGTAAGGCGTGGGTGCGGACGCCAAAGTCACTGGGGTGGACTTTGAAATGCTCGACCACTGTCTCTCCTCCAGGAGACTTTTCTTTCAGCATCCAGCAGAGCGTATTGCCTGCACAGCTAATTTCATCTAATTCCTCTTCTCCACAGACAATCAATGCCTTGTGGCAGCCAGCAACTCTCAAGGCTTCGGCAAAAGCGGGGCCGAGATCTCGTCTTCCGACACCGATAACTCGAGCTTCCAACACGTCCTCCACCGGATTTGCCAATGGACCCAAGTTGTTGAAAATAGTTCTCCAGGGGAGCTGCTTCCGGATAGGAGCTACGTAGCGCATGCCAGTGTGGAAGACTGGGGCGAAGAGGAAGCTGTAGTTTGTATTGGAGTAGACCTTGACCAGGGTGTCCGGCTTCACGGCGCTAATAATAGGCGCCCGAGGCTTCATGCAGTTGACCATGTCGGCACTGCCTGATTTAGATGTGCTTGCCTTGTTGCCGTGTTTGGAGACCAGAAGCAGCGAAGACGCAAGAATTGAGGAAGTTGTACTGACATTGAAGGTGTCGTGAGAGTCGCCTCCAGTGCCAACAATATCGCACTGCATTGTACGTTTAGTTTATGTTTACAACCACACTACCGTTCATCAATTGATTTAAACTGAATTGGATTGTAATCTTACCAGTCCGCCCTTGTACGTGCCCTCTTTTCTTCCCCGCGCCTCAATGACACTCTGGAGCTCCTGGACCGGAATGGGCGCTGCGGCTTTTCTCATTACATAGGCGCAACGCTCTAAAACGTCCGCCTTGTAGTCGAGCTTGGTGAAATGGAGAGCCATGAGGAGAGAAGCTGTCTGGGCTTCTGTCACCTGGTTTGTGAAGAAATGAGAGATTGCCTCTGCGATCTCATCGGGCGTCACTGCATTGTCCGTTGGCCAGAGCTTGGTCAACAGCGGCTTGAGGTTGACCGGAGGAAGGGCATCTTGCCCACTGCCTGTGTTTGACATGGCGGTTGATGCACAAACGGCGTGAAAGAGAGAGAAAACGGTGTCACCCAAACGAAGTGAATGAGCAAGAGAGTGACGCAGAGTCTACTTTTATGCCGGCCGCTATGAATATGCCGTACAACCAACCGTACACACTATGCCGCATCTGTGGTACGTCGAACTCATTAGGAAGGATATTGTTCATTTTTTGCCTATGAGTCAGCACAATAGCTCCATATTAGCCTATTGAATTGAGTGCCTGGGGATTGCTGCGACTACCCATTGGCCGATTTCGGGCCCGCAGAGATGTGGCTCACAGATCCAACGCAAGACACGCGGTAGTTGGTGGTTTCCACCACCTGCGGGAACAAAGTTCTCCCGGTTGCCGCAGCCCAATTGATGCAATATGACACGGGCTGTGGCTTTTCTCTGCGTGATCATTCCTTCACCTCGCACGGTGGCGAACGCCCATCTGATTCCAGCTGCTGAGTCACCCGCAGCCAGAACTTTCGTTACCTGATTCACCAGGCCGTAAGGCCTACATAGCAACTCCTTCCTCGCCCGGGCCGCTCATTCTGATCTTTCCCCCGACAAACTCTTCTACCGCTCTCTTGCCGCCAAACGTTGGAACACACTCGCTCACGACGCTCACTGCTCTTCAAGCCCGCTGTCAGAAGCGATTCCGACCACTTGCTTTTGCCGACTAATCGCTGATCTGAGTCTTTTTCCCCGTTCGCGACACGATCTCAGACGCCTTCACTGGTTCAGAAAAGTCGGCCGGCAGAGACCAATTTTGCGTGTTTACGCTTCCTGACGCTACTTTTTCGCTGGAAGACTCGACAGCAGAAACGCTTTAGGGACTTTTTGGGCCGAAAGAGAGCGTCTCCTCTACATAGTTACTTGCCTCGTCGCGCCTTTGCTGTTTGCTCGCCTCTGGCTAGTGTGCAGCAAGCCGACACCGTTCGCCGCGTCTAGCGCTCCGAACCTTTTTTTCTTAAACAAAGAAAAGAAACAGAAAAAAATAAAAGAATAAAAAAAATCTACAAAAGAATTAATCAAGGAGAAGAGGGCGAGGACAAAGGAATCTTCTGTCCGTGCCCGAAGAAGGTGCTCGATCTCACGTCGGAGGCTACAGCCGCGCTTCCCCCTTCTTAAGCCAGCAGGCTCTCGACCGTCAAACTGCATTCACCGCTCTTTGTCCAGGTCGTCAACGATCAACTCTGGGTCAGAGGATCATCTTACAAGACAGACTCCCTCGTAAGAAAATCAGTAGAAAAGAAGAACCAGCAGCTGCGACGACGAAGAAAGGAGGCAAAAAAGGCACGAAAAGTCTTTGACGAGATCACCAACATCTATAAGGCGAGACCCTACAAGCCCAAAATGCTTCCGCCGACGGGCGGAGATGCAAATGGAGGGTCGTTTCAGGAAGACCTGAACAATGTCCTTGCCTGCCCCGACTGCAAGGAGTACCCTCCGAACTTGATTGAGGAATTCTCGAGCGGAGACATGGTCTGCCAGAGCTGCGGTGTCGTCGTTGGCACACGCATCATCGATACTAGGTCTGAATGGCGTACGTTTGCCAATGACGACCAAGGTGGCGATGATCCGAGTCGTGTCGGCGGACCGCAGGACGAGTTCGTCGAAGGCCAGCATCTAGCCACCACTGTTGCCTTTTCTGAATCTAAGGCTCACAAGGCTTTGTCCCGTACCCAAAACAATGCCAATCAAGACAAGGCTCAAAAGGGTTTAATGCAGGCCTACAAGGAGATTGTTGCACTCTGCGAGGCTATTCATATGGGAGCCAACGTTTCCAACGCGGCCAAGCATATCTTTAAGCTCGTTGACAAGCACAAGTTTATGAAGGGCAAGCCTCAGGAGGCCGTCATTGCCGGGTGCATCTTTATTGCATGCCGACAAAACAATGTGCCTCGAACGTTCCGAGAAATCTTCAACCTCACTAGTGTCAGCAAGAAGGAAGTCGGTAGGGTCTTTAAGCAGCTACAAAACTTTTTGCAAAAGATTCAAGATACCGAAGGCGAGAGCGGTACCGGATTGAATACCGTCACCAACTACGAAAATACCTCTGTTGGTGCCGAAGATCTCTGTGGTCGTTACGTGTCCCAGCTGGGCTTCAAGAACCAGCAAAAGATATCCAAAATCTCCCGAGATCTCGCGGAGCAGGCTACCGATATCTCGGCTCTGGCAGGCCGATCGCCCCTGTCTGTTGCGGCCGCTTGCATCTACATGGCGTGCCATCTTATGGGAGAGCCACGGTCATCGGCCCCCATTGCCAAGCAGACTGGCGTGAGCGATGGCACGGTTAAAACCGCTTACAAGTTCCTCTTTGCGGCCCGCGATCAGCTGATCAAGAAAGAATGGCTCGAGGAGGGTGGCAAGATGGAGAATATCCCGCAAGTTCAAGTCTAGAGGACTCGTCTCTTATGCTCGCGAGTGCAATACATGCTTTGATATCCGCCTCGGATCTGTCTGCTTTGCTGCACTGCTGTCTTTTTTGTTCTTTTCTTTTTTTTCTTCTCTTCAAGCTGCCGTGCGATAGGATCGAAGGGGCGTTTATTGGCGAAACATGGTGATCTTGAGACAGAACAAGCCGAAGACGAGGACTTCTCTTTTGCACTGTTTGTAACGTTTAATCTAGACCGAGGAAAGAAAATAAACTGGCCTTGCAGAAGGGATGGCTGGAGAGAGCGAGACTGCGGCTCTCATGCCCTGATATATTCAGCAGCCTTTTTTTTTTTTTTTTTTTTTTTTTTTTTTTAACTTTTCACCGTTTTGCTATTGCAGAGTAATGTATCTCAAATTGTATAGATCCGAATAGCAATATTTATAGAGAGCAATTGCGTACTCGTAGTGACCAGAATTTAGCCATGAACATTTAGTGAATTCTTGGCGTTTATAGCTATATTCGTAGCTGTAAACTTGGCACGGAGTAGCCTCAGCCATTCCACTTGACGGCTGTTTGCATGCGTGACGAATAGGTGGAGAATGCCAGGCAGGCATCAGATATAGGCTGAAAACGGGCTATGGTATTTTGTAAAAGCCTAAGTGACGTCATGGACGAATTGTACATGCTGAAACCACATTCGACAAGGTAAGTTGTCAGGGAGTTTGTATCGCATGGCAGTTGATTCTGACACGTATATGGCATACGAAACTCTGTGGAGATGAGGCATGACTTTGGCTTTTATGAGGGGCCGCAGTTGCTATACGGCACACACCAAGTATACGGGGGAGAAAGTTCCTCGCTGATGGAGACTGGTACGCGTCAGCCGTTGGAGATGGGATGGCAATGCATACAGTGCTGGGTACAGTAAGTCCTGGGGCCATACGCATTGTGTAGGTAGGTATTGGATGAAATAGGGAGGTAGGTAATACTGCAATACCTACTGCAGAGTACTGTGTTGAGTTTTTTTCTTTTGCCTTCCCCATCCTTTGATTGATCCATCTCGTGTTGGCTGTTCTCCCCATAGTTTAGTCCAGGCCGGCTGCGGGCAACACAATAAGCAGATGGCAGTGACAGCATTGTACATACGCGTTGCATGCACTAGCCGACAGGGAAACTCAATAGCGCCGAGTCAGGCAAACTGGCCTTCAGTCCTCTCCAGATCCTTCACAATGTCAAAAGGGACCGTCCAATAGCCCCACGTGGTGGACATGGAAGGGCCTCTCTAGAAGGGGCGGAGTTGGACCGACGATCTGCTCAGTGACCTTCTGGTGCGCTGCGCTACGGCGCCCCCTACTGCGCTCACTAGATGCGCTGTAGCGCCAATATTTGGGGTGCCTGTCGACCATTGTGTGGTTGCGTCCAGCGTGGCGGCCGACCCGAAACAGGACTGGCTCGCTATTTTTACCCCTGCAAGTGCTTCTTTTTCCCAGCCTAGACTCGACTGACTCCGGCTTTTGCCACCAACCCAGACGCCTCTTGGGCCGAGCCGATCAGCTAGACGCAGAAGATGGTGTCGTATTGGGATTGACTTTCGTCGGGTTGCTGTCATCGAGTTTTCGTATTTTTCTGCTGAGACGTTGCGAAGGGCGCTGGCCGTAACCCAAGGACGATTTCGCATCGCAACATCCGATCGCTGGTGGTTTGCTCTTTTTCTGGACTTCATTTCCAACCTTGTCTGTCTTTTTTGTTTCGCAGAGTGGGATATCATTTTTGTTTGTGCAGAAATCATCGTGGCTGCTGTACTACTTGGCTTCGCGCCTGTAGTGATCAGATCCTCTCTCTTTTAGCCGTTGGCCCTGACTACCACCGTCTTTTTTGCGTCTCGTCTCGAGCCCGAAACGGTCGCGCACTATTGACGTCTTAGAGCTGGCGGCGCAAGTGCCCCGTGCCACTGTCGGATAATTGCTCGGGATGAGAATCTAAGCTTCTGCTTGTATCGTCAGTCTTGGATTATAGCGGCGTAGCCTGCCTCTCGCTTATCGTTATCTTGGGGAGGAAAAAAAGGAGGTTTCCTGGGGTTGTTACGATCGTTAATTTTATGCACATCGCGCCATCATGGTGCCCAGCGTGCGCGGCGCCGATGGTCTGATGCGCTCCAAGTCGGAGGAGGCCAGCACTCTTCCCGAATACCCTCAGAAGGGCTGCGTCGAAGCTGTGACTCCCGTCACCAAGACCTCTGTCGTCAAGCGCATCCACGATGTTGCCACTTCGGTGTACCAGAAGACCATTGTCAAGAAGATCCTGCAGCGGGGCCAACTGGCCGCCTCCAAGGATGGCAGGAAGATTCCTTTGCGACTGGAGAATGACGAGCCATTGATTGATGTTCGGCGCGGACATGCGTACATCTCCAACAGCATTCGCACTTCTCGCTACACGCTGTGGGATTTCCTGCCCAAGCAGCTCTTCTTCCAGTTCTCTCGTGTCGGCAACTTTTACTTCCTCTGCGTCGGAATTCCTCAGATGGTATGTGCAGCCTATGATGATGCTCTCTTTTTCGCCCATTCAGCTACTAAATTGTTGAGCGCAGATTCCTGGTCTTTCGACCACCGGCTCCTACACGACGCTTCTGCCCCTGCTTTTTTTCGTTTGCATAACAATGTTCAAAGAAGGCTACGACGACTATCGACGACACCGACTTGACAAGGTTGAGAATGCCTACTTTGCGACGATACTCGGCAAGGAGGACAAGTATACTAGCAAAACTAAACAAACGCATTTTCTGGATCGCTTTAATCCTTTTCATACGAAAACGACGACCGAACCTCGATCTGTCTCCGCCGAAGAGTACCAAGGTGTGCGATGGGTGCCGACGAGGTGGTCTGACATAAAAGTTGGAGATGTCATACGACTTGCGCGCGACGAACCTGTGCCTGCCGATATTGCACTTATATATAGTGACGGCGAAAACAACTTGGCCTATGTCGATACTATGGCGCTCGATGGCGAAACGAATCTCAAGAGCAAGCAAGTGTGCAATGCGATCGAAGGATGCGATACCATTCAAGGCATTGCAAAATGCGCAGCGGAATTTGTCGCCGAAGATCCAAACCCAGATCTGTTCAACTTTAACGGAAAAGTTACCGTCAATGGAAAGGCAGTGCCTTTGACTCTCAACGAAATTGTGTACCGTGGAAGTGTGCTTCGAAACACCACCTGCGTTATTGGAATTGTGCTCAATACCGGAGAAGAATGTAAGCTGCGCATGAACTCAAACAGACACCCAAAGGCAAAGAAGCCCGCCCTGGAGAGAGTGGTGAATAAGATTGTCATTACTCTGGCTTTTTACGTCATTATCCTGTCCGTGGGCGTGTCAATGGGCTACCTTCGCTGGAAGAAGACCACCGAGAGACACTCTTGGTACTTGCAGCATGCTAGTGTTCCATTCCATGACATTATCATTGCATTTATCATCATGTTTAACAATGTCATTCCCCTGTCACTGTATGTGAGCTTGGAAATCGTCAAAGTTGGACAGCTACTTCTTCTCAATTCGGATCTCGGCATGTACGATGAAGAATCAGATACGCCGGCGCGGTGCAACACGAACACCATTCTCGAGAACCTTGGCCAGGTTGAATACATCTTCTCGGACAAAACGGGTACTCTCACAGACAACGTCATGAAGTTTCGCAAACTCAGCGTTGCTGGTACCGTGTGGCTTCATGAAATGGATTTAGAGCCGCAGCCGTCGTCGGATATCTCTGATAGCACTTCGTCGATTGTCAAAAACTTTGACTTTCCCAGCCGATCGCCGTCTGTATATAGGAGGGACCGAATGTCAGTTGTCATCCACGAGGATCAAGTTGAAATGACGGATTCGCCGATACATTCTCCAAGACCATCAATGGCAGGACGACGATCTTCATCTGTGTGGCGATCAACGGGACGACCAGACCATGTTCAACCTGATGTCAACACCTCGGACTTGATCGAGTATATGAAACTGCGGCCGCATTCGGCTTTTACTAGGAAAACAAAGGAGTATCTGCTTGCTATGGCACTATGTCACTCTTGTTTGCCCGAGAATAAGGATGGGAAGATGGACTTTCAAGCATCGTCACCGGATGAACTTGCTTTGGTCAGAGCTGCCCAGGAGATGGGTTATTCGGTTGTCCAGCGAAACTCGAAGCAAATAACCGTTGAGGTAACTCACGCCGATGGGACAACGGAACGCTTGAAATATGAGATCCTGGATGTTATTGAATTCAGCAGTGCCCGAAAGAGGATGTCTATTGTTGTTCGCTATCCTGATGGCCGCATCTCGGTTATTTGCAAAGGCGCTGATTCTGCTATTTTGCCTCGACTAAGACTGTCTACATTGGCTATGCAAAAGGCAACCGAAGTTCGGCAGAGTGCTGACCTTGAGCACGAAATGTTCCGCCGAAGCGAGCAGCTCGAACCTCGCAATAGCTTCGGCGGGAGGCCCAGTTTCAGCGTTCGCCGTAACCCCACCATCACGAGAGAAAGAAGCGTGCACCGGCAATCGATGGGAAATCGAAGCAAGTCTTTCGAGATCAACAAGCTGACTCGTCGATCTGAGGATCGGCCAGAACGGCCACGCTTGACTATCAACGCACGAGGAGCATCGTTTGACGTCTCAAACCGCCAGTTTCTTAGCCCCATGTCACCTCACGTACCGCAACCACTGGATCCCCGTTTGGCATTTTTGGAAGACTCTGGAATTTTCGACGAATCTGAAGTCTTCACGAAATGCTTCAAGCACCTCGATGACTTCGCATCCGAAGGCCTTCGCACCCTTCTTTTCGCGCAAAAGTTTGTTTCGGAGCAAGAGTACAGGTCGTGGAAGAAGCTTTATGACGATGCTACGACTAGTCTGACGAACCGGCAAGAAAAGATTGAGGATGCGGCAGAGAAGATTGAGGAAGCATTTGAGCTGGTTGGTGGCACCGCCATTGAGGATAAGCTCCAAAAGGGCGTGCCAGAAACTATTGATAGGCTTCGACGGGCTAATATCAAGATTTGGATGCTGACGGGAGACAAGCGAGAGACAGCCATCAACATTGCTCACTCTGCCCGAATTTGCCGCCCTGGATCTGACCTGTACATCCTAGACGTCACAAAGGGATCTCTTGAGACGCAGCTCTCTGCTATAGCCGAAGATTTGAACGCTGGCTCCATTCACAGTGTAGTTGTCATTGATGGACACACATTGGCCGCCGTTGAAAAGTCGGAAGCTCTTTCGATTCAGTTCTTTGCCATTATGCTTCTTGTCGACTCTGTTATTTGCTGCCGTGCATCTCCAGCTCAAAAGGCTCTCTTGGTCAAAACCGTCCGTGGTAAACTAAAAGGGTTCCGAGGCAAGGAACGCCGGGGTCTGACGTTGGCTATCGGAGATGGCGCAAATGACCTTGCTATGATCCAAGCCAGTCACGTCGGAATTGGAATTTCAGGAAAGGAAGGGCTTCAAGCCGCTCGAGTAGCAGACTATGCCATTGCGCAGTTCCGCTTCTTGCAGAGGCTGCTTCTCGTCCACGGAAGATGGAACTACGTCCGCACTGCCAAATTCATCGTCTGCACGTTCTGGAAAGAAATGTTCTTTTACCTCCCTGCGGCGCAGTACCAGCGCTTCAATGGTTATACTGGCACTTCTCTCTACCAATCGGCGAGTTTGACGGTCTTCAACACGCTGTTTACCAGTCTTTGTACGATTTGCATGGGTATCTGGGAGCAGGATCTCTCCGCAGAGACTCTGTTGGCTATACCTGAGCTCTACATCTTTGGTCAGCGCAATAAGGGCCTCAACTTTTGGAAGTATATGCGATGGATGCTCCTCGCTGCCATTGAAGGTATAATTACCTGGAACGGTATCTGGGCAGGCTACGGATGGGTGTCTCCGGCGGCCAAAGATGAAAATTTGTATGCCATTGGATCCTTGGTGTTTACGGTTGGTGTTTTGTGGATCAACTGGAAACTATTGTAAGTTTTTGACTTTGTCTTATTTGTCGTCCGAAAACTTGATTGCTAACTATTGGCAAGCATCTTTGAAACCCACTACAAGTCAGCTGTAGTCATGGCCTGCTTCTTTGTCACCACAGCCGGCTGGTTCGCATGGTTGGCTTTCCTAGACGGCGTGTATGCCGGTACTCCGTCTGGTGACTACGATATCCGCCATACCTTTACCAAACTTTGGGGAGCTGATGCCGTGTGGTGGTCCACCGTCTTCATTGTGCTCGCCTTTTTGGGCATGATTGAACTTCTTTTCAAGGCTGCGAAACGAGGAATGCTCGTTGCAGGCCTGTGGCACTGGCCTCCCTGGCAGAGGAAGAAACTGGGTGACAACGTCGAGGAGTGGGATTTGGAGCTCTGGCAAGAAATGGAGCAAGATCCCGCGGTGAAGAGAAAGCTCGCAAAGATGGCGAGAGATGATGATGATGTTGAGTTTGATCTAGACGAAGAGGAGGAGGAGGAAGATATCATGGAGCAAATTGAGATTGATATCTCTGCGGGGAGAAGGTAGATGGAGAAGAGAAAGAAGAAGAAGAAGAAGAAAAATAAGAAATGTGAGATCGGGATTTCATGCGCAGGGGTAACCAGGAGCGGATTTTTTTTTTTTTTTTTTTATTTGCTTTTTATACGGGCTTGGAGTTGGATATTCTTCCTTGCCTTACTTCACTCATTGGTGGACTGACGGTTTACTTTCCTTTATGACATGGCCTGGTCGGCATGATAGATACCCAAGGGAGTATGAGTGTTGGAAATGGGATGACATGATACTAGAAGATAAGAGACGATATAGTACGCGTACATAGACGAATTATTTTCTTTTCCTTTTCTTTCATTTGGAAGTTTTCCTAATTGATAGGAAAGAAAGAGAGACTTTATGTTTTTATAATCTCGTTAAATTGGAATCAAAACCAGCGGACGTGTATTAATGTATTAGTGTGTTCTAAAGACTCTAAAAGCAAGCTCGATGCAAAATGATGAGCATGCCCTGACTAGTTGAGAAAAAGAAAAGAAAAGAATTCAATGTCATACTTCATTACGATTTAGAATCCGCTGTTTCTTCCCTCTTTTCACTCCCCCCCGTCCTATCATCATCTTGAACATTCCCCTGAGTCAGCTTTTTCACCGGAGGTTCTACCTTGCCTACAATATCCAACGTACGGAAAGTCACGAGGACAAGCACCAGAGCCACCAGCCCCAAGGCAAAGTTGAACCATGAAGCCGCGCGCAGACCCTTGAGAGATTGCGGATCCCACGCCTTTATACTGCCCACATTCTTAACAGATACGCCGCGGCCATCAGCCATGACCGCGGTCTGGATTGCCGTGGCTATGGCGAGGCCGATGGACCGGCCAATCTGGCCAACAGAGTTGATGAGTGCGCCGCCAATGGCCTGATCCTCTCTCGGCAGCGCGCGAGACGTGAAGAGCGTGAGACACGGCCAGGTGGTGTCCGCGCCAATGACGGAGAGGATCATGGCCGGAAGGCCCCAGGCAAAGTACGACGTCGTCGGCGGGATGGGCACGGCGTAGAGCAGGCAGGCAATCGTGATGGCGAGGTTGCCGCTGATGAGCAGGAAGACGGTGGGCACGCGGCCGAGCAGCTGCGAGACGATGACGGCGACGGCGGCGCCGCCGATGCCGGTCGGGAGGAAGCGCAGCATCGTCTGCAGGGGGGACTGGCCCTGGAACTCCTGGAAGTAGTAGGTGGCGTAGATGAGGTAGTTGTTGAAGGAGGCGAAGAAGACGCCCATGATGACCATGACGGCGCTGAACTGGGCGTTGCGGAAGATGGAGACCTTGATGAGCGGCGGCGTGGGCAGAGTTGCCGCTGCTGGCTGCAAAACTCCATCAGATTCGAGGAGTTGCGTCTTTGCCGCGTCGAGTCTGCGCTCCAGATACCACTGCCAGACCGCAAACGCCGCAATGACAATGATGGACACAACAATCAGCACCGGGATCCACGGCGTGCTCCAGCCCACGACGTTGCCTTCTGTGAGCGCAAACATGAGAGCCAGCAGGCCGACGGTGATGAGCGTGGCGCCAACCCAGTCGACGGACCGCGGGCCGAGCTTCGTTTTGCTTGCTGCTGCTGGTGATGGAGGAGTCGGCGGGATGAAGAGCATGCCGCAGACGGAGATGATGCCGCCCATGATGGCGAGGACGCCAAAGACCCATTTCCAGTTGGAGTACTGGGCGACGAAGCCGGAGAGGATGTTGCCGAAGACGCTGCCGAGGGGTGCGCCGGCGCCTATGAACGAGAGGTTTTGCTAGTTAGGTTCTGATTCTTTCAGGAGATGTGATGTGTATGTGTGTGTGTATGCTGTAAAGAAGAATTATACATGGCGATGATGATGTGACATACTGTAAGTGCTGAAGGCGTAGTTCTTTGCCTTGCCGGGAGGAAACGTCACGCCCAAGATGCCAATAGCCGTTGGGACATTCGCAGCAGCCCCCTAAAACACATTTAATTCCATCAGTCTTTTTTTCTTTCATCCAACAACAGACAAACAATAGCTTGCATGAAACTCACCAACCCATGAAGCCCTCGGAACAAGTTAAACGCAATCTCATTCGGCACAAACGGATTCGCCGCCGTTATGGCCGTCACCCAGATGGAGCCGAGTATGAAGACGAGCCGTTTGCCGTACAAATCGGCGATGCGGCCCCAGAAGAGCAGGAAGCAGCCGAAAGTGAGGGAGTAGGACGAGACGATCCATTGCTGGCGGCTTTCGGGGACGGAGAGGTGGTGGCCGATGGTGGGGAGGATGATGACGACGCTTTGGACGGAGAGGGTCTGTTGTTGATGTTTGATGTGTGTGTTAGTTTCAGTAGGATTTAGAGATGTACACACGTACATGCATATATATATACACGATGAGTTGTTGAGAAGAACGCTGTGTAACTGTGTGTATGCATGGAGTTGTGTGTGTGTCTCTGTGTGTATGTATACTTTCAATTTCACTTACATTGAGAAACGCAGCGCCAGTCACAGTCGCAACCAGAGCAATGCATCTCGCCCTGGACATTGGCAGGCCATCATCATCACTTTCCCCATCACCGCCATCCTCCGTTGCCGAATCAGTCCCCTGCTGCGGCCGGCTCGTAGCAACAGCCGTCTCTTTGCCCATCTCAGCATCCTCTTCTCTCCCCATTGTCGCCAACGACGATGCCTTTGTTGTTCCCTCGCTCTGCTTCTCAATCTCCACCTTCATCCCCGATTCCTCGTCGAGAACCGCCATGCCGGGATAAAAACTAATAAACTCGACGGAAGCGGGACGGGAAGCTTCCCCGGGCCGCTGTTTTCAACTTTAATTGGTCCGTATTTCGTATAAGATTTGTTTCGGTCCGGTTATGGCAATTGGTTGAAAGAAACGCAGAAAAACAAATGATGAAATGGCTATGCAGAATGAATTGATTCTCAATCCAGTTATGAAATCAACAAATCCGGGTTCTCTCTTTTGTTCTCTTCAGTATGTACCCAGTAGGTATGGTGTAGATCAGCTAGAAAAACGCTATCACCTAAACGTATTGCGTGCTCCTAATCGAAGTAGACAGAGAGACAACGAGAAAGGATGAGAAGGGGGAAAAGAGAGAGAGAAAGAGCAAGTATTCAAAGACCCATCAATCACCAAAAAAAAAAAAGGAAGTAATGCGGCAGTGAAAGAGAAGAAGAAGAAGAAGAAGAAGAAGAAGAAGAAAAGGATCCCAGCACTCTTTCATAGACCAATACCACCACAAACAACCATGTGCCGCAGCCGGACAAGGGTTTTAGTAAATAAGCAGAGCAAACAACTGCTGCTGCTCCTCTGCTCCGTACAAAGACCAACGAGATAATTCCACAAAAATGTCGGAGCGCCGAGCTCAATCCCGTATTACTGCGCTACGGCTTACGTGCATTTAAATCCTTCCCCCCCCTCTGCCCGGTGCCGGCCACCCACTACGTCTTTTTTCCATGTTGATCTTTATCGAGTCCCGATATCCCGTGCCGAGTCTAAGCTAAACCCCCCTCCCTTCTCTCCGCCTTTCCAATAGTTCTTGGAACTAGGTATATATGTAAAGATGAGCCTTTTCAAAGCCTACCGGCTCTTAGAACCAAATTGATTAATATCAATTAATTTTTCCGTCTAGTTAAAGCTGCCTAGCCGGTGCATTAGCGAAGCCATAGGCGTTTGCCTTTTATAAGATCTGCTGCGTGTCCGGATAAAGGCGTTTCCGAAACAAGTCCGACTTACACAGCTCAGGACTCCAGATGATATATGCATATAGCATTTACACTCATCCATCTGCTGGCTCTCATAGAAAAATCCAAGCAGCTAATTGTGCAAGTTGGCTATGATTCACTCTCCTCAGTTCATTCGTCTTTTACTGGCAGTTATTGGATCTCCGTTCCTGTCTTCCTCCCCTACTTTGCGGTCCATCTCCATGCCAATATCTCACAACATTCTCAAAACTAGCATCATCATCACCATCATAACTACCACTCTGCACAAATTACCATCAACATCACATCACGAGCTCAATTCACAAAAGGGAAAAACACGGTTTTAACGGTGGCCATGAAAATAGCTCCTTGTCTGCTTCGTGCACTCATCAAACGTTTGCATTTTTTTGTTGACTGCCTATTCGCCGTGTCCACCTGGTTAAGCATCTCAATCTCCTCCACCTAAAAATGGTGAGGTTATTTTTTTTGCTTCATCAATGACCTTGCCCATATTTCCCTTAAACCCACCGCCGAACTTAATAGTATATCCCAGGCGGGAACATTAAAAAAAAAGAGGCCCTCCCAAAAATAGAAAAAAAAAAAAGGTGAATGAGACACCCATGCGTCAAAATCACAACTAAACCAGTCAAATTTTTTTTTCTTTGGCGGCTGCCCTCGAGAGTCCCCTAAGAATAAAAGGGGGAACAAATGAGTGGGAACGAACAACCAAAACAAAAATCCGTGCTCCCCATCCATCCTCGTAGCCCTTTCTTTCCATTTTTGCCCAAGCCGCCCACCCTGCAATCTTCTAGGTGATTCTCGAAAAAAATGAAACTAAAGAAACAATCGTACACGTTTGCATCAACGAGTAAGAGACTTAAGCAAAGATTTTCCTCTTCTTTCACTCCGTCTCCATGCTGAAACCCCTCTTTGTATTAGAGGGGGGCACACATATATGGTGCTCGGGAGTTCCCTCTCGCATACCTCGAAATCAACCTCTCCATAAGCGTTTAAGTGTAGTGACACAGAAAAAGTCCAACTGTAATGAGGAAAAAATAAAAAAAAATAAACTTGAGAAAGTTCACACCACCCCCTTCCTGAGCCCTGAGCTCATGACGAGCGCCATTTCATCTCGCTCACGGCGATATCGCCCTCGTCGTTTCCCATCACGGCATCTACCCCACTAATGGTAGTTTCCGCCCCAGCCGCCGCGTTGCTGCTGCTGTTGCTGGCCTTGCTGCTGCTGCTGACCGGTGCTGTAGTAGCCTCCGCTGCCGAATCCGGCTTGACCGTAAGAGCCATAAGGAGTGCTGTGCTGGTTAGCACCAGCGCCGCCGCCCATGCCGTATGCGCCGCTGCCGTGAAGGCCGTGGCCTTGAAGATGGCTAGGGTATCCACCATAGGCACCGCTCATCTGGGACGTCTGGGGGGGCGGGAGGCCGCCGCTTTGCGCACCGGGAGCAGTGTTTGTGGCAGAGCCTGGCCGAGGGGCTCCGAGAGATGGCGAGGGGCCAGAAGTAGACTTGGTTTCACCAAAAGGCTTCAGCTCGTCAGCCGAGGCTCCAGTGCTTGGCTGAGTCTGGGTGCTGAACGATTGTCCCTGAGACTGGAATGATGAGGCGCCTCGAGAGAAGCTGTCGTGGGTGCTGCCGAAGCTGCTGCCTCCCAGACCAGGCTGGCTACCTGCTTGAGCAGAGCCGGCACGGCCGTAGTCACCAAGGCCAGAGCCAAGAGGGCTGTCTCTGTGGAGAGATGAAGGGCCAAAAGTTCCGGGGGACGAGGTATGGTCGTAGGGCGCATTAGGCGAAACGCCATAGGGTTGTCCATACATGCCGCCCTTGCCATACGGGCCAAATCCTCCTTGGCCGTATCCAGAGTAGTATTGGTGGTAGTAAGGGTTGCTATAGTAGGGGTGGTTGTATCCGGGGTATTGTCCGTGAGCCTGGGGCTGCGAACCTGGACCTCCCTGTTGCTGAGGCTGCTGCTGCTGAGCCTGAGTGACGGGGTTGGGGGTAGAGTGGCCGCTGTTCTGGTTCTCGTTGCTGCCGCCGAATCGTGGCTGGTTATGGCCAGTGCCGCTTTGCGGGTACTGGCTAAGGTTGTCGGTTTGGGTGGCATTGTAGCCTCCGAAAGGTCGCTGCTGCGAGGGAACGCCCTCGGGTTGGGCATGTGCTCCCTGCTGGCTATAGTGCTGGCCGTAAAAGGCGTATGGGTTTCGATCCTGCTGGTTTGCAGTGTAGTAGGCGGAGTAGTCGCTAGGAGCTGAGCTGAAAGCTGCACCAGGCTGCTGGGCGGGAGGTTGAGACGTTTGAGCCGCAAAGTTATCAAAGGGTGGTTGGGATGCGGGAGCTGGCTGGTTGAACGGGTCCAGGGGCTTCTGCTGAGCCGCGGAGACGTCCTGGGGGCCAGCTTGGCCAAATCGACCGTATTGCTGAATATTAGGGATAGGAGGTTGAGCTGCGGAATCATCATTAGCGATATTCTTCCTTCGATATTCTTCCTTATGCCTCGGAGTTTGCTAACAAAACATACTCTGAGAGGGGATAGGTGCCTGGGCTGAAGTGGCTGCGGCAGCTATATTGGTAATTAGTCTCAAAAATATGAAAAGAAATAAAAAAAGCACAAAGGGGAGCATGGCACATACCAATAGGTGTCATTCCAGGAGGGGGTGCAGTAGTGGTCTTAGGAGCATAGGGTTCCGGCACAGCGACAGGTTGAGAGGCCGGAGGAAGTGAGGTTCGGGGAACAGCAACAGGTGAATCGGCGGGAGGCTGAGCTCGAGTCTCTGGTTCTTCGCGCTCGCCGTCAATATCCTCGTCGTCATCGAGGTTAAAGGCACCGAACTGTACAGCAGCACGGTCAACCTCTCGGTTGCCGGGCATGCGGACAGCTTCTTCTTGCTGAAGAACTCGTCGTTGGAAGCTGGGGGTGCGAGGGGCGACTCGCTCGGTAGTCGCCTTCAAAGCCGAGGCAGCAAAACCGCTAGTAGTGGTCTTCTGAGCCTGGTGCTGTTGCTGAGCGGCCGAAAGAGGAGTGGCAGTAGCACTAGGAGGGCTCTGTCGAGGGTCCCAAGAGTCAGCAGCTGTGCTTGCAGCAGTGTCTGTTGCAGGTGGCTGGGAGACATCAACAACTTGTTCCAGATTAGTTTCCGTCAATTCATCCTGAGAAGGAGCAATTGTGGCAGCGGGTTCGGCGGTCGCGGGAGCGGCAACAGGAGTTGCTTGCTCAACAACTGGAGTGGCCTCTGCTTTCTCTTCGGCCTCGGGCTTGACGGGTTCAGCTTCAACTAGGGCGGGTTCGGGAACGTGTTCGGGTTCGACGTGTTCGACGGGCTTAGGAGCGGGAACTTCTTTGGGAACTGCGGGCACGACCTTGGGAGGAGGAATCGACTGTCGGAGCATGCTAGCCCAAGTCTTGACTGGAGGAGCGGCAGGCTTGGCGGGTTCGGCCGGGGCAGCCTTCTCAGTAGGCACGAGCTTCTTGTCGTCAATTCCGTTGGCAGCGTCATCTTTGTATGCGGGGGACTCTTCGGTGGGCACAGAAAGTTGCTGGCTATCCTTGGGTCGAGATCCGTTGGTAGGATGAGTCGACCTGGCACGTCCACCACGACCACCTCTATCTGTAGTAGCTCTGCCTCGGCCGCCACGAGGAGCTCCGTCAGAAGCACGGCCGCCACGGGTGTTTCGAGCGCTGGAAGACAGTTCAGTGTTCACGGGTGCAGAGGATGCGTCCTTGGTCTTGGGACGAGTGGTCTTCGTCTTCTTGGAGACTTCACCCCACTGAGAGATGGTGCCTAAGGATAGGGAAAAAAAAATTCAGATCAGCAATTGAACATGATGTTTCACCTTCACGTAGAAACGCATCCGCAGGAATAAAATTGACAGCCGTGTTGCAATTGAATTGCCGCACTCAGGAATCTGGTATTTGCAAAGAAAAAGAAAGAAGAAAGAAAAAAAAAGGCAAAACGCAAACTGCAAATTTCGTCCCCCAACGTACCTTCAGCAATTCGTGTCACAGCCTCAGTCTCATCACCATTTGTTTCCTTGAGAGCATAGAGGACATCGGGTTCAGACCAGTCGGGGAACATTTCGCGGATCACCGAAGTCTTGTCGCCATATTGCTTTCGAAGCTCGGCAAACTCGCCCTCATCCTCAAACGTGCCCAAGTTGTCGTCAGCGGTCTTGAAGTTCTCGCCGTTGGATCTGCGACCGCCTCGGCCAGCGAAACCCCCTCTGCCACCTCGGCCGGAGCCTCTGCCGCGTGAGGCAGATGGCCGTGAGATGACCTCAGACATGGGGAGCTGATAGGTATGTGGAGATGGGGAGGGATGTGGCAATTGTGCAGTGGCCCGTCAGATGGCCTCTGCTGAGGGTGCAACGAGCAGAGGGAGATGAAGAAGAAAAAATATGAGGAGAGAAAAAAAACAACAACGAGGAATACAAAGTCGTGCGTACTCGAGAGGAGACGAAGATGTAGATGCGAGATGGCACCAGAGCGACGAGGGTGTGTGGTGTTGTGGCAAAGGGAGGTCCAAAGGTGGAGGGCAAAGGGAGGCACGAGGTTTTCCCCGGAAGCAGACGAAAGGCTCTGGTGCTGGTCACGAAGGTTTTTTGGCTGAGCGCCCGGTGACGCCCCCCTTGCCCGCGTTGAGAGCTGGCCAGCAAGTACTCCTTCACTGTAGCACAGTGCAAGATCCACCAGTGCTAGAAGGCGCCCCAGGAGGGGCAGTTTAGGCGGCCCTTCAGCGCTGGGATAGGGCTACATGAGCCTGGGCTCTGCCTGATGCGCCACTGCTGCCCACTATAAGGCAAGGGGGGGCAACGAGGCTGCACGGGCTCCTGCAGCCACAGATTGAAGTTGGGTACTCGAGTTGGTTCAAGGAGAAAAGTAAATTGCACGTGGTAAACCTAGGTATCGCTTAGATCTAGAGATCAACTTTATATCGTGGCTTCTGTCCAAAGAGCAAAACAAAATTGAGACGTGTTCTATTCTATCTATTTCATTCAAGTCATTTTCAGCTCTATCCAGCTCCCGCCCCGCTCCCTACAGTCTACAATTTGCCACCCCTCGTGTCGACCGACTTTCGAAGCAAAGAAATGACCTCGGCCGGGTCCTTGGCTCCAAAGACGGCACTGCCCGCAACAATGACATTGGCTCCTGCTTCGGCAGCCTGGTCGATTGTGCTGGGGCCGAGGCCTCCATCAACCTCAATGTTCAGCTCGGGGTATCGTTTACGCAGTTCCTGGACCTTCGGCAGCTCCGAGGCCATGAACTTTTGGCCTCCAAATCCGGGATAAACGGTCATAACTAGGACCATCTGTGATTGTCGCCAGTATTAGCCTCATATTCCTCTAGTTCAACAAAGAGTAGAACGGCCAAGGAATTCTTGGACCAAAAAAAAACGTACATCAGGTCTCTCCTTGGGGTCCGAGCTCTCAAGAATGTCCCAAAGCACGTCAACGGAGGTATCAGGCTTGATCGCAATTCCTGCCAGCAGCCCGTTGTCGTGGATATATCTGATCAGCTCCTTGGGGCTTGTCTTCTTGTCGGTCGTCTCCTCGGGGGATTCTGCGGCTGATGAGAAAGCGGCTTCGTAGTGGAAGCAGTACAGGTCACAGCCAGCGGCCTTGAACTCCTTGACCCATTTCTTGGGCTATTGTGGTTTGGACATCTATTGTTAGCTCTGGAACAAAAAAAAAAAAGGCTTTTGTTCATATCAGAGAATAGGTAGCCCGCAGCTATAGGTACAGGCCAGAGGAATCTACCGTACCTCCGCAATCATCATATGGCAATCAAATGTGCCTCGTCCGGCGGGCTGGCTCGGCTTCTCGACGTGCGGGCGGACCTTTGCAACAACGGGGGCGCCAAAGGTAATGTTTGGTACGAAATGACCGTCCCTGCATGCAGCTTGTCAGCCAATTCTATCTGACAACAAAGGCGTTGTGAGTGATGGAGGCTGGATGGCAGCTTTACTGACATGATATCAACGTGCAGCCAATCCGCACCCTGCTCCATGGTCCGGGCACATTCTGCGCCGAGCTGTGCAAAGTCCGCCGATAGAATTGACGGGGCAATGAGAGTCTTGGGGGCCATATTGTGTCGTGTGTTTGGGATTGTACTGAAGATGCTGTCGGTACAGGTGGTACAGGTGAAGTATCGTTGTATTGCGGCAGTTTGCTACCACTCCGGCCTCCAAGCTGCCGTTTGGGTATAGTAGGTAGCAGCAGTATGACATAAGGCGAGCATTTAGAGAAGCCAGGCTGAGCCTTGCACACTCTTCGCACTGTATACTCCGGCCGCGCTGTGGAGCAAATCGCAGATCGGTGCGCAGGGCACCGGACACCAGGTACCTTGTACTATAATTTTCCGCGATTACAGCCGTCTGAGCACAGTGAAACTCAAAGCAACTTGCCGCATCGTGAGATTGGGTCTGATCCCAGCTGACACTTCGCACGGTTTAACTTTCAGGCTAGTGCTTCAGATAGTGTGGTGCACACTGTGAAGGCCCTCAATTGGGCTGCTGCCAGTGCCCATTGTGTCCTGAATCAGCGACACAGGGCACTGGTGAGGCCTAGGCAATGTGCACGGATGGATGATAATGAGTTTGGTGCCACGCAATTGGCTGCGTCGCAAGAGACGGGCTTTGTTCGCAGTGCTTTGTCTTGCCCTTTTCACCGTCCAGCCTCGCCAAGTTGCACCTCCTAGCTCGGCTGCAGCGAAAAAAGGCCCTTGTAGCCGATACCTTGTCTGTCCACTGGCCCAATCGTCGTCGTATCTGTACATTGCCAGCGCACCGAAAAGCAGGGAGCCTTGCTTCTGCCTGGAGACGTGGCAGGTTACTGTACCAGGGGACCTCCCCCGCCCCAGCTTTCGATTGGGGTCCAAACTCAGCCCACGTATCACATGACATGACCAGTGCAGCGGATTAGTATTGTATCATGACGAGGCTGGAGCCTTTTGGCTCGTACGAGATAAGAGCCTCGAATCCAAGACCAGTAAACGGGACAGCTATAGCCGCCGAGTTTCCCCTTGTTCAGCCTGCCTTGCTGGCAGCGGCAACCGAAACTATTGATTTTCACGTCTTTTGTCTAACATTGGCCAATCGGTGCCGTATTCTTGCTCGTCATGTTCTCCACCAAGTCCGTCCAGTCGCTGAGGAAGCTTTTCGCCGGATATCACGAGCCCCTACCTATATCCAAGCAGCAGTCGCAGAAGCTCCTCGATGGCATCAAAGCATCCTTTCGTAGCCAATTAGACCGCGAATATGGACGCTCTTCCTCTGATCACGCCCCTACGCCAGCCAAATCTGGAGACACCAACCCTCAGGCTCGCCGGTCCGCTGCGTCTTTGCATTTGAAATCCGTGCTATCCAATCCTCTATTCAGCTATAACAACAAAGAAAATGCTTCTCCCCTGCCAAAGGGGCTGTGGGTGCCGGATCGTGATCCGATGGACGTATTTGACCACGCCGTGTCCAGGGGTATGATGACGCTCAAGGCTGCTACAGGCTGTCTGGTGGCCAAAGAGCAGCAGTTGTCAAGTGCCATGGACGCGAATATTCCAGCTGCATCTTCAGATACTGCCCTGCGAGTCGTTCGATGGCTTCGATCATCTGGGGCAGAGAGCAACTTCCTCTTTCTGGACAATGCAGCCTTTGTTCGGGCGCTTGTGCCTTTCCTCATCGCTGAAAATATGGAGGCAGTGGCTTGGGAATGGATCACGCGGACTATGAATGAGTCCAAAGACATCAGCGAAGAGCAGCGTATCGCTCGTGCGTCTTCTTTGCTGTCTCAAATCGTCCGCATCAAGAGCCAAGCCCAGTATGGTAACCTCGATGCTGCTATACAGACGATCCTCGAAGCAGAGCAGCTCTTCCAGCACAACCCTTTGCTACCGAAATTGCTGATTCAGCCGTGGAGATCAGTGTCATGGCTATCTACTGTAGAATCATACAGCAGAGAAATGCCAACAGAAAAGCTGTTTGAAGCTCATTTGGCTACGGCTGATCGCCTATCACGGCCATTCCCTGTAGAAATGGCACATTTGCACCTATACCACCCAACGCATCCGGATCACCTCCCTGCCGTGGAATTCTTCAACGATAAGAAGAGGCTGCGCAAGCTGGTGCAGGCCTTGGGTCCCGATAAGCTGAATCTTACAAAGTTTACGGGCATGGGCACCATTCCATGGATTGCCTTCTTGGGTCACGACACGGTCAATCACTTGAAGCAATCCGGGAGAAGTGAAGAAGCACGAGGCATCACGCAGTTGTTACGATCAGAGTTGTCTGACATTTTTTCTGAAACTTTGACACCAGCATGAAAGCAAAGCAACCATGTTGCGAGAGGATGTTGTATTTTGCATATAACTTTTGTATTATATCTATCATGTCAAGGGAAAGGCGCATTCACGGGACGGATTACGGAGAATATCATAGCATTTAGATACCCAAGCTCAATAAAAAAAAGGCTGAAAGATTGTATTTTTCTATATATTCATATCTAAGGTAGATGCTTCGTGAAATGTGTCAGTTCGCCATAAATTTTTATATATCCTCTTTCTAGTCCGAGAATCCCTCAAACTCATCTTCCCCCGAGCCTGCTGCCTCGTCGTCCTCATCATCATCATCATCCTCTTCGTCCTCTTCGTCCTCTTCGTCTTCATTCTCTTCTGGTTCCTCTACATCAAATGTACCAGAGATATCCCATCTATCGCCATTGGCCTTTTTGCTCACATACTTGACAAACTTGAGAGCACCGCTATCACGCAGGACAAGCGTCATCTTGTTCCACGCCGCAGCCTGGAAAAACAGAATGTTGTCGTCGTCCCCGCTGGACTTGTACACCGCGGCGTCTTCATTGGTGTCATCATCTCCAGCCATGTAAACTTCATGACCGCCGACTTCTACAGCTTCCTCAGGCTCTTCAGCAACGGCTTTCGCTTTTCCTTTGCCCTTGTCCTTGTTCTTCTTCTTGTTCTTTCCGTTCGGCTTGGCTTCCTCCTCCTCTTCCTCCTCTTCCTCATCGTCGGCGGCATCTCCCCAGCCAGTCGTTGGCGTGAGACCCAGATTGAGCTCCAGACGAGCCTTGCCCTCGTGGCCCGTAGCAAGAGTGTAGTCCATACCGCGACGGAATCTACGGGCTAGAACGTCGTGGTTCTCAATGGTGCACCCGGTTGCTACTTGAAGCCAGCGGCGGAACTGATCACTTGGGAACAGCTTGTCCAGTAGCTCTGTGATTGGTGACTCATCTGAGGACTTTCGAGATTTGGTAGAAGGTTGCTGGTAAAGGTACCGGTGCTTGTGAGGCGGTCTGGATACTTTCCAGGCAGAAGACTTTTCGATGGCTGAGCTATCTTCGGGAAGAGACGCTTTTTCTTGCGCCTGGATGTAATCTTGTAGGCGTTTAGCAAACTTCTTCGACAAGACGTCTGCAAGCGTAATGCTCGAGTTCTCTTCAAAATGTTCAGACACTTGCTCCAGCGTATCAGGTGTCAGGTACGTTGGCGCAATGTACTGCAGTAGGAATTCCAGATCGGCCTCCTCAAATTCAGCCTCGCTGCTCTTTGGATTCTTGACCGCAACAGGCTTTGCCTGCGGCGCATCGTACTGAGCAGGATTGCCCTGGAGCTGCATGAGGCCGCTGTTCTTTGCGTTCCTTTCCTCCTCTCCCTCGATGTAGCCGTCTTCTCCAACCTGAGGGATGTGGAACCAGCCGCTAATGGCCATGCGAACACGGCCGCCTTCCTTCTCCAGCTGCTCTTTCGTCTCGGCATGGTACACCTCCTCGACATCGTGGAAACTCTCGCCAGGCTGGACGGCGAAGAAGCTGAGCTGGTTCCAAGCAGGCGGGATGACCTTGACCACGTCTGGCAACGGCGTTTTCGCAACGTCACCGTCCTTGTTTTTGATTTCCTGGATGGGGAACAGACGCAATGCGCCACCCCATTCGGGCTTCCACGGGATGTCGGGATCTGTCAAGTAGAGAATGTAGCTGACTCGTCTGCTGCCAATGACGTCGTCATGGCACAGCAGATAGCAGCCCGGGGTATAGATGTTGATGGCCATGTCTGTCTTCTTGCCACTCAGCGGGCCGCAGCCAGTGATGCTGGAGACATAGTTTCGGAAAGTCTCCGAGTAGATGGCATCGCGGAGGGAGAGCAGAGAGGGCAGCTTGGCAAGAGACTCGTCGTCGAGGCCATCCAAGTTGGCCAGGTCACCAGATTGATGGATCTTGTAGATATCGGTCTCTTTCGGAGTGAATTGTACGTTTTCGCGAACTTCGTCTCGAACCGACCGGAGGAGCTTGTCATCGACCAGCTTGTGGATGACAGCATGTTTGTAGGGCGAGGATTCGGCGTATTCGTTGGTATATGACTCCAGGACAGAGTCGTCGAAAAGGCCCTTGCGGAAGCGCTTCTTTGCATCTTCTGGACTTATGGCTGGGTCGCATAGTTAGCATCCAATCGAGCCAGGAAACAGAGGAAGCCGGAAAAGAGGCGTACTGGTCTTGGCCTTCTTGCTGCCGGCCTTTTTGGCAGAAGCATGGCTTTCTGCCTTTCTCTTCATGGTGGTGACGACTGGCTCTGGCTGTCTCTGCGCAATTGGCTATGGCAGTGCCAATGGCAAAAAGATTGGAGCGAAAAGATTTTCGCAAAAAGGTGGGAAATGGTATGAGGCCAGTTGCGAGATCAGCCGATGGCGCATCTTCAACTTTTTTTTCTGCCGCCTTCAGACTCTGGCACCACTTCCCCACCAAGCTAGCCCTGCAGATTTCCTAAAGTGGAAACCCGGCCATTGAGCTGCATTAATTGGGATGTCTTCTTTCCTCAATAGCCAAAGGGCTGTCAATAGAGACGATATATTTGTCTGACATGGTTCAAATCTGTATATAAAGTTTCTTTTTTTGTTTCTTATTCATATGTTAAATGCATGATAGCCTGTCTTCATGGTGCAGCCGATATAGCAGAGGGGCCTGCCGTTTGTGTACCATGCCACTGAGTTGGAGAATTCAGCTATTTCAGTTGCCAATTCACAGCCTGCGCATCTCTGTACGTTTTCATATATGTAGATACACATTTGTTACTTACACATCTCAAGAATTCCACTTAATATTGCTATACAACCAGATTTTCTAGATCCCAAAATCTGCACACTTTGAACATAATAGGCCCCATACCCTGCAACCAACGGCGTGTCTATTTCGCGGTACGCAATTGAGTAGGTACACGCAGTAGAAATACGCCGACATCTTGATCAAGACGCGCCATTTCACTGGTTTCATTTAATATTTGACAATCATCCTCATGCGTGGTCAACTACTAATCAACGCCTCGCACCAAAGCTTGGCACAAATTAATTCCAACAAAGTTTGTAATCAAAATGGCGCTCGGTGTTAGTCACCGGCGTGAACACCGAACTCCATATTATCCATACCCCGCTGACGCAAGATCATCAAAAAGCCATATCAGCTTTATAAGACTTTAGTATGCATAGCGTTTAATACTCTCGCACCCAGCTTGAAAGTTACTTTTTACTCTTCCTACCCGATTCGCACCAATCCCACCATCTACTCTCATACATCGAGACCATGGGCTTCGAGAACCACCAGAAGGAGGTCCGGGACCACTTCCCCGCCCTCCAGCAGAACCAGGTCTACCTCGACAACGCCGGAGGCAGCCAGACGCTCGGCACCGTCATCGACTCCATCCGGGACTACCTCACCGGAACCAATGTGCAGCTTGGTGCCTCGTACGTCGTGAGCAAGAAGTCTACTGCTCTCTATGGAGCCGCATACAAGGCTGCTGCCAAGTACATCAACGCCAACCCAGATGAGATTGTCTTCGGCTCGTCAACCACTCAGCTGTTCCGCAATCTGTCTTATGCTCTAAAGTTCAACCCGGGAGACGAGATTGTAGTCTCTTGGATTGATCATGAGGCCAACATTGCTTCGTGGCTGGACCTGGCCGAGCGGCAGAACCTTGTCCTCAAGTGGTGGAAGCCAAAGCCCAGTCTGAATCCCGAACTTCTTGCCAGTGACTTGACTGCACTCCTATCGCCCAGGACAAGGCTGGTGACTTGTACCCATGCGAGCAATCTCCTGGGGACAATCACTGATGTGAAGGCTGTGGCCGCGGCCGCGCATAGTGTCGGCGCTTTGCTCTGCGTTGATGCCGTGGCGTATGCCCCTCACCGGCCTATCGATGTAAAGGATCTGGGGGTTGATTTCTACTGCTTTTCTTGGTACAAGGTATATGGACCTCATATATCCATGCTCTATGGCAGCTGGAGTGCGCAAACCCATGTGAGACCTCTGGGACACTTTTTCAATCCTTCCGTCTCTCTGGAAGATAAAATTGGCCTAGCGGGTGGATCATATGAGTTGCTTCAGGCTGTTCCACACGTTGTCGAGTATCTAGAATCGAAATGGGACAATATTATCTCTCAAGAACTCCAGCTACAGACTACTCTTCTAAACTATCTCAAGCAGCAGCCAAATGTAGTTATTTATGGCACTCCGGATAGCAGTGTTCGTGCCCGAGTCGCAACGATTAGCTTCTCCGTCAAGGGATTGAGCTCCCAGGAAATGGTGGAACAAGTCGAAAGCAAAACGCCATATGGTTTCCGTTACGGAACTTACTACTCAGAACGACTGGCTCGAGAAACTTTAGGGTTGGCTAAAGATGGTGCTGTGAGGATTAGCATGGTGCATTACAATACATGTAAGTTTCGACGTTGCCACAAGTCGAGAAGAGGATTGACTAACAAGATGTCAAAGTGGATGAAATCGAGGGGCTTATCAAGGCATTGGATGAGGTTATTAAAAGTTCTATTAATACTAAAACATCTAAGCTTTAAAGTATATGGATGAAAGGATGGAAGCAGCATAAATACTGACAGTTACCTACCTAGACGGCAGGAGAAGATTGGGAGATACAAACGAAGAGTAGGAAAAAAAAAAGCACATGCAGATACTGATATACATCTTACTAAGAAGGGGCTCTACACGAGCAATATACAAAATTAAAGAAAATGACCAAAACCATACTTACAATATCTGATATCCGAGCCCAAAAGACACCAGCGGGCATTGGTACTTGAGAGCATGGCAGTGGGGAGGATTTCTTGCCGCGTGTGGGGAAGACTCCGCCGCCGTGCTTTCTGGAGAGCTTAAAGCGCTTGGCGCTGGAGCTTGATTTCTATGCTTTTAAGGTTATGATTTGCGCCCCTGGCCTTTACTCTTTTTTTTAACGTTTCAACCATAAACCTCGGAAACTGGAGACTTACACTGCTTCGAAATTTCTGAAAATGAGTTCTCTGGAGATATCTTCTTGGAACCTTGCTGCTCTCTGTTTCTACCTACGCGCGATGCAACTCCAAGCCGCCAAGAGATCTAAAGCTGCCATGCGACGTCATCGTGCGTGCTCTAGAAAAGCGCCTCTCCCCAAGTATCTCGCACAAGGTACCTAAAGTGATTTTCTTCTGGGAGGCATACGTGAACTGGGTGGATGTACAGTATGTAGCAAAATGCGTCAAAGGACCCTACTTGAGTGAGATTCGACACATGCAAGGAAGACATGAGCTAATGATGGTCAATGTAGTACTCGGTATTATGGTTTGGCATCGCCGTCATTAATATTCTCTAGTCAAATTATATCTCGCCTAAGTAGACCATTTACAACGTTCAGTTCGTGCGGTTACATTTCGCGCCACCTCAACAAAAAGCAAATATATTACGGTCACACCAGAGATTCCCTTGTCCCAATTCTCGGCTGCTGGGGCATGGAGATGTTGTATTGATCTCTTACAGGGCAGCAGCCAGCATGGCGATGGCGGCACCAACAAGGCTACCAGCAGAAGCCAAGGGGGCGGCAACGTTTGAGCTCGTGGTTGTGGCCGCGGACTTTGTGGCCGATCCTGTGGTTGTCTTTGCCGAAGAACCCGTCGGGGCAGCAGTTGTGGAGCCAGAGCCGGTCGAGGCAGGGGCAGAGGAAGAGTCGGCCGCGGAGGTAGATGAATCAGAGGATTTGGTGGTGGATGAATCAGAAGATTCAGTTGTCTTGCTCGAAGCAGAGTTGTCGGATACCGTAGCAGAGCCAGTCTGGCTCGAAGAGCTGTCCTTGCAAACAACCTGGTCGGGAGTGCTCACGCCGGCGGAAGAGCAGATCTGCTGAGCAAACGAGACGGCCTTGTCCTGGTCAGATTTGCTGCAGGCATCAGCCAGGCAGCATGCGATGCCGTTGAGGAAATCGGCATTCTTGCAGATGCATCCAATGTCAAGCTGCTGGCAGCCACCAATCGCGGTGCCAGTGGTGAACTTGGTGACGCAGCCAGTCTATTTCAGCGCGGATACTCGGTCAGCCTCTTTCAGATATCCAGAGCCATTCATGAATTGGATTGGCTGGTGCAAATAGGCAGAAACGAAGCCATCAATGGTGTCCGATGAAGGCAGGGGCAAAACTTTTCTCTTGTGCGTCACCGGTAGTTTAATGTGTTGTTGTTATTACTTACAGCGCAGGACGGGAGGCCACTGAGATCCTGGGCAGCCGCAAGAGCTGCGGTGAAGACGAGCGACACGATAGAGGCCTTCATTATGGCTGATGGACGGTGAAGAGAGGCTTTGGTGAAGAAGCTTTTCAAGATGAGCAATTCGACTGATGAGCAGCAATAGGAAGAAGGAGAGGAAAAAAGAAGGAAGAAAAGGGCTGGCGTGCCCAAAGAAGCAAGACGTGGAATGCCGGCTGTTGCGTGTTGGGGTAACACGGACAAGCAGCGCACCACTGGCAGGCCATCTTGGGTCCGCCTCTGGACGCTAGCGACCTGCTAGAGGCGGATGGGCCCGATTTGGCCCTGGAGAAAGGAGCATTTACGGCCCAACAAGCTTTAGCGCGGCGCATCTTGGAGGCTTTGGGAGGCGCCCGACCGTCCGTTAGTGATTCAATAGGTGACGCCTACAAGCCTCTAGTGGAAAGTAGTAGCGCGTAGGCTGGCGGCGTTGCCAAGGGCAGGGGAGGGCAGGGGATGGCAGGACAGAGCAGAACAGAGCAGAGCAGAGCAGAGTAGAGCAGAGCAGAACCAACGGCAACAAAGGGGGCTTCCTCGGGGATCCAGCTGGTGTGACAACGCGCGCCCATGATTGGGCTCGGCATACGAAGCATTGAGGTGGTACAGTGGCCTGTGTATGTGGAACACTGCACTGCCGCTGCCAGGCTTACTCGATTGGAGAAGGGGAAAACAGAGAGGCGGATGCTGCGGTGTGGAGATTCTCGATGCCAGGGGCTGCAGCCAATCGGCCATTGGATCTACAGTCGACGGACGGACTTTTATCGACTCCGAAAGTCTGCTTGTCAACCAGTCACTCATCGAGGCGCGTTCTTACTCGTACTCGCACTGGTGGTGATGGCTGACATACTTTTGCTCGTAGTGAGACGCATTGAGGCATATGTCTCGGACCAATCTGGTTAACTTGATAGGGGTTGAATCGCATACAAATATCTCCGCAAAGAAAGGCGAGCAATAGGGAAAATAACGGAGCTAGTATTTTTAGGAAGCAATGGCCGTTAGTTTTAGAGATGATTTATTTTGGCTTCGATGCTGTAGGAACATGCGGCTCGAAATCGTTGCCCAACTGAGAAAAAAAATGGCCGTCGTCAGTATAATACACTGCCCCTACGCAAAATATGAGTGACAATAATATACACAAACGGACAGTCGAATGGAGCGGATTATTGGGCATCAGGCAAGTCCATGGTGGTAGAATATCAACTGAATAGAGAGATGCTATTAATATGAACCCAAAAGTGAAATACAAGGATTCCGGGTTTGCATCTTCAAGTGTCTCTTTTTAATTCAAGTGTCTCTTTTTAAATATCACAACTCACTCGAGGTTCCTGCAAGATGGCCTAACAAAGCACATTTCGGGCGACTACCGAAGCTGATATCTCGTATGTGTTAAGACGTCTAGTCTAAGACGTCTAGTCTACCATGATCTATTCCCATAAGCCAATTGCTCAAGACAAATGAGGCTGAATTGCTCTTTCTTATATATTTTGCGAAAATTAACTGCTTCTAGCACTGCTGATCATCTAGACAATATCTCATTCCGGGCGTTAAGATCAATAGTAGGTACTCTTCTTCAGTTGCTTTGTTGGTATCGTTATCATGATATACATACATGCAGATGTTAAAAAAGGGCGTGAGCACTAAAATTTAATTCTTGTCAAAACGCCTTGAAGCAGTTTTCCTACCGTTCAAGCATATAATTGTTCTCCATCCCCGCTGCTACTTGATGGTAATTATACCTTCTTCCCCTGCCTCAGGAGCTCAGAGACTTTTGGCGGTAGAACCAATGCACTCCTATCGTTTCTGCGGTAAAAGTCAACCAGAGTCATGGCTGTTTGTTCTGGTTTATCCTCGTGAATAAAATGCCCAGCATCTGGAAACACTTGCAAGGCGTATTTTCCTATATGATGCAACAGATTAGTTGCTTCCAAGTCTTGAACCCCTTAAAAGAAGAAACCTGTTCTTGGAGTCTCAATCACTCACCTTGCATCTGACCAATTGTCAATTCCGTATCTAATCGATCTGTGCCAGCAAGCAGCAAAAGCTTCCCCCCACGCGCCCCAAGGAACTTCTTACTTAACCCTACAAACCAATCCTCCCAGAACGGTTGTGTAGCTGCAAGATTTGTTCTCCATCTCCATGGACGAGATGCATCTCGGCTCTCATCCCAGACCAGCAATGCTGGCACTGAAGCTCTAGCAGAGACCGAGTTTCTCACAGTCCGTGTTCTGATGTGCCAGTCAATGCCCGACTCGACAGTTGCAAACCCTCCCGGTCGTGTGGACAGGTATGTTTGCATGCTCTGAAGCGCATCCATGGCAGAGCCTTCAACCACGTCTAAAACCGCGTATGCCAGGAGGGATGTGCCTAGCTTTTTACTCATAGCGAGGTCTGTTACAACAGCACCCCCTAGCGAGTGGCCCACGAGAACTATAGGAGGCAGCTCTGGCCAACCCATCTGCGCCTTTGTGGCCTCAATCATGGCGAAAAGGTCCGACGACAACGTATCCAGCCGTAGATCCAAGGCTGCTCCGTCAGGAGCGATCGTGGAACCATGGCCTCTGCAGTCGACTGCCAGTATGCCAGCATTTGGGAGTCGTTTTCTTATCTCAGAGCCCACTACCGCAAACGAGAGCCCAGAGGATCCGGCGCCGTGATGCATCACGTACAAGGGCCCTTTATCTGCCGGCGAGTTGAGGTAGACATGATACGTCACTTCTGGGTTGGCATCAGACTTCAGAAACAGCTCCCGCTCAAAGTAAGTGGTCCATGGGATCTGCTCTAGCGTTCTGCCCCTTGCTACGCTGCATACACTGTCAGCCCGACAGTTCCATCATCAAAAGCCTTTGCCATATCCAACTTGGGTGCAGTTGTAGTTACCCTTGGGGGCGAGCAAAGAGTTTCTGGCTCGGCGTCGGGATAATTGTCCCCGTAGACGATACCGATGAGGCCGACGAGGCCGAAGAAGAATCGTCGTCCACCGCTTCTGGCAGCTCCGGCACCTGGTCTTCCTCCGCCTCGTCCAGCTCTTCAAAAGGCTCCGGGGGGATCCCAAGCTTTGATCGTGCCCAGGCTCGCTGTAGATCGCTCATGATGGGCCGTATTGCTGGAGCTCAGAGCCGCCGACGACAGCAGTTGATATCAGCTGATCAAGGTGGTCCAGCCATTCGCTGATGCGGGGGGATTGGATGACGATCCGTGGAGAAATGAAAACGCGCCAACGGCTGAAATCTTGGGCAAAAGGGCCGGGCGCCTGTTATCACCGGTATATTCAGTCGTCGCCTCTTTGGAGCGGGAAATGGAAGTATCGCAGCCCGCCACGTTCTGCTCATTGACCTGAAAAAACGTCGCTCAAATGCTGCGAAAACGGATGAGGTCGATTAGCGACCGCGCGGGTGGGGACTTGTCTCATGTTGCACACTGTGAAATGTGTGGGACAATGACGTAGTGAGACAGTGCGGAGCTATGAGCTATAACTGTATTTGAGATTTAAAATCGTCCAAACGCACTGATGACTTCTGTTATTGTCTATTGTTCTAATATGACGCAAAAGAAGAAGGATGAAATCTTTTTTTGGTGAATTCCAATTCGGTAGCGGTGTCTTGATATTGCTTGAGAGGTTTGGCGTACCTTGGGCAAATCGAACTGTGCTTACTGCGTCATCTTCCTATCTCTCTTCTCAAACAGCGAAGGCTGAGATATCCAATCAGGTAAAAGAAACGGTGTTTCAATCGAGCAGACAAGTTTCAAAATAGTCAGTTCTTAATATCCGGTAATTCTGCCTCATTCCATTTTTATTGAGTCTCTCTTTCATTTTCGTTGTTTTGGCGCACTTTTCTGCCCACCCCCACACTCTGCTCATTTTCTCACCCTCATTTTCCGAATGGCAGCTTCGGAACTTACCTATAGGATACAAGTGCAAGAGGTACATCATCGAAGCTTAGAAATTCCGGTAATACCAATATTGTCTAAGCTCGCCTGGACTGTCTAGAAGGTTCTGAAACAAGTGCTTACGCTGTCTCACACGCCACATACACCCCGTCCACACTATGATGGGCTCTTATTGGTAAAGCTTTTGATCCTTTCTGACAACCATCAAGTTGCTAGTTGACATATCTGGCTTCAGTTGGTTAGAGCTGAAACTGAGTCAGGTTAATTACCATCTGTTAGATTGCCGTGCATGAGAATAATACTTGTTTGTGTGTGGCTTGGCTTAAAGACCCATTCAAAAGGCGTACGGTATTCGGTAATTCGTAAAGTCCAATGGCTCTATCAAGGGGCTTGCAGTTTTGATGTCAGCCGCAATGATACTTGATATCAGCGTGCAGGAAGGCGTACCATCATCCAGCTTTTTTGGGCACCGAGATGGCAATCCATGCGTCTGATGTCGTGGTTTTGCCCAATTGGTTTATTGATATATCGCGGCTATTCCATTTGCTGGACCATATTGTCTACGTATACCTATTTCACCGTTTTGCATTTTGGCCATGACTCATTCCCCTGTGTTCATATGACCTGATGTGAAATACCTCAGGGGAACTGAACGTGCGATGGAAATAATTCTTGGCAGAGACATGAAATTAATGTTTCAAGCTTACTTGCATCCTCGAAGAAGAAGCCGAGACTCACGCACCGCATATTCCTATATCGTATGCTCATACATGTCGATCCATAGTCTCATGCAATGACGGAGACTAGACCCCAAGCTTTTTTCAATAGTTCTCTCAACTACTGCTGCCCTACCTGCATGTAGCTGGCTCCGTATGAGTGGCCATTCCAAGAGAGCGTGTCCCACCGCGTTCACCAGACTGTTGAGAACGGTGTCATTATAACCCATTCATAACGTGAGACCAAGTAACATAGACTTTGGGCAGTCGTAATGATTTTCGTGAGTCAACAGCTTAATTGGCGAGGAATATTTAGGCGAGTGTGCCGCCGGGTTTCTCCCGTGTTGTGCTATATTTGATTTAGAGATGATACATGGACGATGGCCCCTGAAAAAATGACGCTGTAGCGACTCTTTCAATCAC